CAGCATGTAGAGTGGTCTTCTAACTCATGGGAACTCAAGCTATGAAGGAGGAAGGCAATCAAGTTGATACATGGAGTTTCTGGACTTTCTTTAGGTTGATATGTGGCTTTTATTGATTTTTACCTTGGGAAAAAATTGACCGTTTCCATGAGTTACTTATCCAGTTCCATGGGAACTGTGGAAGGTTTAACAGAGGATGTTCCAGGTCTTTGATAAGCTTTATTGTCTGTTTAATGCAGGCTATATTTGAGCCTAAAAATTACCAAAGGTAAATATATAAATGGCTGTTGCATGCGTCAATTAGATCTACCCTGACTATACAGGAGGCCAGTTTGTGCCTTGATTTTTAGATGCAGCCTCTGAAAGGAATTATCTAAGTTTCCTAGTTTTGTGATAGAACTGCTTTATTAATTAGCAGCTACATGTTAGGCTCAATTAAGCGCCCAGCATGGGCTCACTGACGCTTATCATCACTGTCTGCTTCTTGTCTTAAGTAACTGCTACAAACCTCATGCATCTGGATTTGAGCGAAACACCAGAAGCGCATTCTTTGCTGAATACTAGTAGTCCCTGAATACAGTCTGGATGGATTTGGGGAAAAATCTTGGGGTGTTTTATCTCTGGCATTCAAGATACACTAGAAATGAGCATGATTGGTCATACACGGTAACGGACTTTCATGTTTTGTGCTTGTTTTGGCTTTGCAAGAGAGGCAAGGCTGTTATTTCCAGCACTTCTGAGCTTTGCAGGATTTCACTCGAAATCGCAGCATCCCAGCATTAGCTTTTGGTATGGGTAGTGCTGCTGAAAATGAAGCATTTTAGAAAAAATGTGGGGTTTTTTTGGTGGTGTGAATTTTGCTTTCCCTTTATTTTGAAGGCACACACGTTGCGGATATAAAAACAATGGCAATTTATTAGAGTTTTACTCCCCCGTCTTGAAATTTGATCGAAGACTGCAAAAGAATTCTCACGGAAAAAGCTCAACATATTTCTGTCTTGTAAAGTAGATTTATGATTATATCCATCTGTGTCCAAGAGTAAAGGAATTGAACAGGAGCATGTTAGTAGGAAAAATATTTCATTGCTGGTAGGATACAGCTTCTGAATTATTCCCTCAGGAAAAAAGGTTTTATAAATATATACTTATTTCACTCCATTGCTTTTAAGTAAATCATGCATTATAACTGCAAATGCATTTTTAATAGTATGCTTTAAGTTGAAATAATTTTTTTATGATTTAGAAATATATCAGTAATGTACAAAAATAACGGTACATTATATGGTACAGTATATGTATATTTTCATAGAGGCTTGTTATTTTTAAGTTTTTCATGTTTTTAAATTTCAAGCATTGTTTTTAAAATGTTTAAAAGCAGTTTAAGCCTGTAAGATTTACTTCTTAGAAAAGTTGTCTTTTCCTCTCCATAAAGTCTTTAATTTGTCTGATTTTATTAGTTATTTTTAGTGACTTTTACCAGTGTGTAGGTGGTTTTGGTTTGAGTTTTGTTAGGGTTTTTTTGAGAAAATCTGAAGTTCTTAAACTATGCTCTCAGACTGTAAGTTTTCGTGTGTTACTTACCTATTCCTGGATCTCTAAAATACTAGTTCAATGAAATTAATTTGTGGAATTACAGAAATAGCCAGTTCTGGGGTATGGCAGTGCAAGAATGGCATAAATAAGTATTAAGTAAAGAAGCAGCAATGACATAGAATGGTAACTGCAGATACCAAGACCCCAGTGTCAGTGCTGCTGGCATAAAATATTGTTTAAGCTCATTTGGGATCTTGTTCCTTTATGTTTTAATTTGTACATTCTATTCCATGAGGGTTTATGAATGTGGATTAACTGGCACTTTCCATTGTAAAACTCTTTTTACAGTTGTAGATTCAACTAAAAGTTTGCACGCCACTGGTCTATTTCATACTGAATTTTAATGGGAACTTAAAAATTCAGTCATTTTCTAAGAACATGGTCTTTTTTTCTTTTTTCTCCCCAATTCACGCATTTTAAAATATTCACAAAATTGTAGACCTACCACTTTTATGCTTTCCTGGCGTAGCATCTATGCTCCAGCTCAGTACAGCCATGTTTGCAGTGCAGTTCCTGCTCTCAGCTTCTGAGAGCAGAGACCAAAAGGACCATGGCCATGGCTGGCCATGGTGGATGTAGCTGGTGGATGGAATTTACCGAAGTGCAGAACAGCCAGGAGGGGTGAGAGGGACAGAAAGCTAAAGGTTCATGTGGGGGGGGGAGGGGGTTGTGAGGATGTAGCTTGGTATTGAGGGGCATGAGGGGAAGGAGGGATTAAAACAGACAATAAAGACAGGACACCAAAGCCAGAAGCAGAAGGAGACAGAAGATGGACGATGGCAATGAAATGGACAAGGATGAAAGGCAGCAAAGGGTAGTCAGTTGGTGAGGAGGGAAGATTAGCAGGTAGGAGCCAAGGCAGAAGACATATGAGAGGATCTTGTTACAGCAGGAACTTGGTGGGGAAGGATGCTAGATGCGTGGATCAGGTGGTCACGGGTATGCAATAACCAGGAGAAAGAGCAGCAAGGAAACTTGGACCCAGAAGCTGAAGCTGGGCAAGGAGGAGAAGAGAGAGCAGGGAGCAACAGGGACTAGAGCAAAAGTGCCTTAGAGCACTTGGGCACACACCTCTGCATGCTGGCACTGACTTATTCCTACCTGAACATTTCTCTGTTGCTGAGCAAATAGCTGTGAAACATGGAGGCAAAGTGCGTCGTGCTTTGCCTGTGGCAGGTCAGCTCACGGAGGAGAGAGGTGCTTTTTGGTGTTACTGTTGAGTCCACTACCGAAAATAGGAGAGCTCTGTGCCACAGGTCCCAGCTTGCTGTCAGCACTTGGGGTTCATGCATTTGTTGCTCTTTTCAATTTTCTTGGTGCAATTTGCACCTTTGATAAAGGTGCAAGGAATGATGCTAAAAATAAAACTGAGAGATCTTTAATGTGAAGTTAAGCTCTCCAAAACTGCAGAACTGCAGTAGCTAATGCAACCACAAACTGCCCTGTGTGTTTATGCATATGATAATAATAACCTGTTTAAAAATAGGCTTGTGCATGTGATCATGTAGATGGTAAGCTATTAGAGATTTTAAGGATGATAGAGTGGTACAACTTGCGTTTCGTAATCAGCATCTAAATATTTATAGAAAAAGAGTAAAAAATAATAAACTATTCATGTAAATGTATATATATTTTCTTGCTAGAAGCATGCTTTTTTTGGGCCTGTGTGCTAGTAAGAGTAGTCATCTAACAATAGTAATAGAGAGATGTGTTTTCTACAATAAGATAGTGAAAATGTATTACCTAACATGTACATAATAAAATAAATACATTTTCTGAAGACTTAGAGCATATCAAGAGCACAGAGGGTATCAGCAAGAAGTATCTGACTTTAATGATAAAGTAGGTTTTTTACCTGGTGGTTTTTAAATGATTGGTAAAGAGTTTGTAGGAATTTTGTTAGGAAAGTGTGAAGAGTTGTTCCGTAGTGAAAACTAGCTCTGGGACATAATAATTTAAAGACTTGAAAAAAATGAATCACTTGTAAATTCAAAAGATGGTATTATTAAACTGTTCCTGTAACATATTTCAAATGACCAAAGTTCTCTGCCTAAGTGAGGGTTTTGTTTGTTCATGGGTTTAAAGACATTGTAAGCTAAATGGCAGAATAATCTCTTTTTTTCTCAGATAAAATTCAAGAATACCTCTTGGTTATTTCAGATCAAGCTTTTATGTACTACTTTCATTGCAAGAAAGGCATTAGAAAGAGTTGTCATTCTCATTTCTAATGACAGTATTGCATTTTTGTTAATACACTGTGGCAATGCCCAAAGGGATGAAGTAACGCCAAGGTTCAGAGCTCACAGGTATATTCTGTTTAAAACTAGTGCTAGTGCAGAAATACTTCAGACTTGGCCCCGCTTTATCACTCACATTTATCCTTCTGTTGGATCTATTCTAGCCTGCATCATTCTTCTATGTCCTTCCCAATATCACCTGCACCCTTCCTCTTTGTAAAGAAAGTTGCGATCTGAATTGTGCTGCCCGATATTCTTCCCTTTGCAATTCCTGCCTCATCCTTTTCCTTCTTGGAGTGCAGTTACACCAATCCTTTACCACAGGCAACTGCCAGTTAAGTTGGTAGTTTTTTGCTACCAACTCAGCCTTCTACAGCTGTAATATATTAAAGTCAAACTATGGTTTCCTTAGCTTTCCATAAATTCATATGTGGGCTCTGCAGTGTTACACTCTACTGTGTTTTCTCCCAAACCCTACCCATGGTTTCCCTCCTTGGCCTGATGGGCTCACGGCTTCCAGACTGCTGTAATTCATCGGTTTATTCTTGATGTACTTAGTATATAAGTCTATCCCAAGCAAAATGAAAGATTGCAACCTCCCATTTGCTGTTGGCACTGTTTGCTCTATTTGCGTGTCTGTTCTGCCTGGTGCTCTGTTACCCTTTACCAGCCCCTGTGCCCCTCTGTCTGTACCTGTTGTCACAGTATTGATCAACTACTCGGCAGATTCTTGAGTTGACTTTTCTGTCCTTAACTATAGCTAAGTGCCTATTTTGTGGAGTGTTCTCTCTAGTGTCATCATCATGTAGTCTTGTGTGCTTGTGATGGAGATGGGGGGGGAGGAGGAAGGCTGTGAATGTGATGTATTGGGGTCCATTCTTGGAAGATGACTGGGCAAAGTCAAAAACAGCCGGAGTGCACAAGCAATTCTGAGGTGCAATTTGTGAAAAAACAGAGGTCCAAATAAATGCATTATCATGTGTTTTTGTTTTTATATGATTAGGCTATATTGTTTTCAAATCAATGTAAGTTAATTTGAATCATAATACAGGTTTTGTATTTGCTTCATCAAACTATTGCACATTAAAAATCATGCATGCAGAAGTAATCATTCATACGTTTTTCTCTGTTTGAGAGATTACACATTTCTTTCTATTCATATTCCTCCAGGTGACTTGGATTATTACTGGCTGGATCCTGCCACGTGGCACAGCAGGGAGACATCCCCTATTAGTTCGGTAAGAAATAGGGAAAAAGAGGTTCATGAGTATGAATTAAAATCTTTGTGATTATTTCAGTTCAGCATAGATATTTTGTTGTAAAAAAGTGTTTTATACAAATTAGATGAAAATTTGGTTTAGTGGATCATGGAAATTGAAATCAGAAACAAATTTTCATCAAAATGTATAGTAGTAAAATTGCCTGAATTTTAACTTGAATTTAATTCTTTTACGGACATGATACTAGGCTTCACTATACACCACAAAAGCAGCTGTGACTGTGATGCTGTTCTGGGAAAGATTAGTGACTTTTTCTGTTGACTTGGAGTGGGAAAGGATCATTTGGATTTTTATTATATAGTGAACCCATATGGTAGATCTGTATAAGATGTATAATATTCTAAAGAACAGAATTTATAAATGCACTTTTCAGGGTCATGGAATTTGAACGTAAATGTTTAATTTTATTTCCTAAGGTATGTTTTAAATGTTTAATTATAAGGAACTTTGAATTGTATTATAATTTTACCTGCAGACTAAGTGCCGGGATTTTTTTACAGTGGGCATAAATATTTAATGAAGCCAGACTCCAGCAGATATAATAATAGAAAGCTTGGATGCAATATATAACACATCTGAAGGATGTTTGTATCTGCTGTGACATAACGATACGGAAATTTTATTGGTTTATAAATCTGCATCTAAATACAAGAATTACACTTCTTTAATGCCACTACTGGTTTTTGGGGGTTTTTTTAACAGCATCCAGTAACGTGGCAACCTTCTAAAGAGGGAGATCGCTTAATTGGGCGTGTTATTCTTAACAAGAGAACAACCATGCCAAAAGAATCAGGTGCATTACTAGGACTAAAAGTAAGTATTACATGATTTATATGGTAAATGAAAGAAACTTTCACTGACCTTAAACCTAGAGGTCTAACACATTAAATCAGAGGACTCTCCAATTATATGGTCATTTGGCAAAAAATGTATTCCTTATTTTTAGTAACTTTTGAAAGTTATACAGATAAATTATCCTTCTACGCAGTCTTCCAGTCATACATGGCAAAGGAGCTGAAATGTTTTGATTAAAAAGTGTATGTCTATTCAGCTTCCTGTCTGCAAGACATATACTGCACATTGCAACGTCCTAATGGAGTCCTGCCTTTTCTAGCTCTGCTGTTTGCATTTCAGTCAAGTAATTAATCTCATAATCCACATACATAAATGTCATCCAGATGCAAACGTTTACAAGGTCAGTCTTTAAAATCCACACAGCCATTTGGAAACAGAACTTTTGTAGAATGAAACTAAATATCTACACAAAAATTTGCACACAAAACCCCTTTTAGATCATGGCAGAGATTATATTAAATGTAATTCCAGTTAATCCAGTGCCCCAAAATTAAGACATTGGCAACACTGTCCAGTTGATTTAAATCCCTAAATTAGTCATTCGTAGTGGAATTTTATATTCATGTCCCTAAATTGCTGGAACATTTAAAAGAGAGCTCTACTTTGGAAGCTGGTGGGGAGTAGAGTGTGCCAGTTCAAGAATTTCTCTCTCCATGTATATTTTTAAATAAGTGGAGCTCCATATATGACTGAGAGAATTTAATTTGTGTCTTCCTCTCCCCACTGAGAACTAACAGAAACAATGCAAAAGATGAAACATTCCCATCTGCGTAGGACTGTCTCATTCAAAGGGTGCTGACACTGAAATACTCCTTGCACATGGTTGTCTGATAGTTCACTCCCTGGCATGTGAAGGAGATGTGGGTTGTCAGTTCTGCTCATCATGGTGGGAATTAAATCAGGAAAGAACCTTGTGAACTTGGTATGTCCTGGGTAAGAGCCATTCATCCACCTTGAAGTGAGATAGTGTGGTGTGGGAATACAGAAGATGAGAACAGCTTCATTCTACTAAATGTCTAGTACTCTGTAGCACAAAGTTGAATTTTGCTGGCAGCAAGCAATTTTTTTTTTAATACGTGAGAAAAAAGGTTGGTTCTAGTAGGAAATGTAGATTGGAGAGCTTCGCTTCAATTTTTCAAGTTTCATTTTTCTATGATGTGAACTAAGGCCCCTACTGATAAATTAACACATTATCTTGCGACAACCTTCTTGGCAGGTAGGCTTCTATATCTTCTTGAATATATACCTGAATTAAAGCTCCTACTTGTTATTGTGATTGCAACATGGGAAAATAATACATCATGAGCCATCATTCCACTGTTTCATTTTGTTATAAAACTCCTCCCAGGATATTCCTGCCCCTTTTTTTTTTTTTTTTTTTTTAATTTTCCTAATGTCTGTATCATGCAGTCATCTTCAAAAATAGCTCTCTTCAGTGCTGTTTAACAAAAGCCAGAAGTTGTTGTTTTGTGCTGTCATGTGCTTGGATGAGAGGGCCTGGGTTTCAGCAGTAGCAATGTTCTTGTGAACCGTTTACCCATGTTTCATAGTAGTGTATTTGCTAAGTTTTAAATTGTTGTTCCAATTGAATTTTGGGATTTTCATACATTTGGTTTGATGTACACTTGCAATTTAAACTTAAGAACGCGACAGATATCTATTTACAAAGAGCACATTTACTTGTTTATTAAGAAACATTCTGTAACAAATATAGATACTTAGCAAACTGCATAAGGTTGATTAGTGAAACACATTAAAAGGAATATCAATTTTATTGATTCTATGTCAGCTTTACTTCTTTTCAAGTAGATCTGGCCTTTTTGTATCTTAAACTTTAAGTGTTTGTAAAGCCCAAAATGACAATAGATTTCCTTATGCATATTTTAAGTTTAATTTTTAAAAATAATGGGAAAACTGATCTGTCTATATATTTATGCTTGATATGGTGTCTGACTTGTGGCTTAGAAACTCACAAATTTATGATTAACCAGGTTGTTGGAGGAAAAATGACAGAATTAGGACGACTTGGTGCCTTCATTACCAAAGTGAAGAAAGGTAGCTTGGCTGATGTGGTGGGGCATCTCAGAGCAGGTAAATCAATCAGTTGCGTACAAAATATATTGTCTTTTAATTATGGCTTTTTGTAATGCAGCTATTAATTTATATTAACATTGGTCATGAGATATGCTAGTATTTTTTAAATACAGGACAATCCCGTAAAGTTATTATGGAATGTCACAGTTGCCTACATATCTAATTTATTCTTAACTCCAATTGCTATATGAGCAAAATACAAGACACTCCTGATCAGTGCTGGTGTCAGGACTGAGAGTCACTGCTAAACTTTTGCTTGCTAGCTCAGGAGCTGCTTTTTACACTCTATAGAAGCAATGCAAACATTTTTTAAAACTTTCATTGTAGCAAACAAAACTCACTACAGTTACTTTACTTACGCTATAGTGTCACCTGAAGAATGATACACTGTGTACACAATGGAATTTATTATTGCTTCTTTCAGCGTGAATTGTTACAAATAAAAAAATGGAAAACAACCCAAGAAAATTATCTTAAAATATTTCATTTATATAAGATATATATTCTGCACTTGCAAGTAAGTGGCTGTGCTGTTGGCACTTTTCAGTCTTCTAAGTGAAGCAAGAACTATGCACAGCAGTTGGTTTTCAAAATTACTTCTTAGGGGTTTATATTTTTACCATGGCTCTAAGCAACTACTTTCCAAGTGTTGTCTTAGCAAACGAAAGTCTATGTAATGCCTTCTTAGGAATCCAGGAGCTCCAATGACAAGTTGTATGAATTTAGGATAATTGCATGAAGGAAATAGTAATGAAGTAGAAAAGATGATGAATCTCTAAAAATATCCTGCTTTGTTTTGGCAGTTGTCACTTTATTTTATTTTATTTTTTTTACCAAGTCAATGTACATGGTGTTGATAGCACCAATATTATAGTTGTTTATGGATTTTAGCTGCGGATTATAATTACAGAAAATAAGTTTCTCTCCACTAATTTTGAACTATTTGGGCTGAAATATTGCATTTCTAATGTCTGGTCTAGGTTGGTTTGTAAGGCAAAGCTGTATTTCATTTCTAAAAATATTTTTAGAGCCAAAATAATTTCACAGAAAAAAAAAAATTTTGCACATGTTTTCAATGAATGAAAGTCTATTCAACCTATTGTATGGGACTAAAACACAGAAAAGGCATGGATGAGTCTTTGCTGTTAGGAAAACACAGTTTTTCATCTTTATGAAAACCCTCAAAAATTTGGATAGTTGATAAATCTTTCAGTAATTGTACAAACTCATAAAGTTTAACAAAGGCAAATATGAAGTCTTCCATCAGGAACAGAATAGGCCGGTGCAACAGTAAGCACTAGGAGCCAATGGGCTCAAAAGCAGCTTGGCAGAAAAGTGTCTGAAGGTGCTGGAGGGGACAGTAAATTGAACATGAATCAGCAAAGCTCCCTTGCAGCGAAAACCAAGTGTGTACAGGGCTGTATTAAAAGGATTGTCACCAGCAGGTTGAGGGAGGTGGTTGTTGCTCTCTGTTCAGTGCTGTATGAGGCTGTATCTGGAGTACTGTGTCCAGTTTGGGTTCTTCTAGTACAAGAGAGATACTGACAAACTGGAGCAGGTTGGGCAGAGGGACAGAATGTTGACTAGGGGTCTAGAGCATGTGGTGTACAAGAAGTTGAGAGAACTGGGTTTGTTCAGGCTGGCAAAGATAAGACTATGGGAGGTTCTAATTCGTGTTTTTACCTGGCTAGTGGGAGGCTGTAGAGAACCCAGAGCCAGACTGTTCTCAGGGGTGCACACTGCTCACACAAGAAGCAATGTGCACAAGCTGGAATGAGGGAAATCCTGTTTGTGAAAATCTTTTTCCTTCAATCTAAAGAGGATAGTTAAGGCTTGGAATAGCTTGCCCAGAGGAGATGTTGCATATCCTTCCTCTGAGATACCCAAATCTCATCTGGTCAAATCCCTGAGCAACCTGCTCTACCCTTTGTGCAGATATCTTTGTTATCCTAAACGTCTATGGCGTAAGGTGTCTAACAGCTCCTTGACTGACTGACAGGCAACTGTAGGCTACTACAGTGGGACTTAAGACCAGGGAGTTCATCTTCCCTCAATTTGTAGCAGTGTGTCACAAGATCATAGAATGGTTGAGGTGGGTAGGGACCTCTTGAGATCTCTAGTCCAACCCCACTGCTTAAGCAGGTTAGCTAGAGCAGGTTGCACAGGACTGTGTCCCGTTGGGTTTTGCATATATCCAGGTTTCGAGTATCTGGATGGAGTTTTCCTGTTTCCATGCCTGTTACTGAGAGGAGAAATTGGAATGTAAGCTTTAAAAACAGCATCTTAGATAAAAGAGACTGTGTAAAAGGGCTTGGCTGGTCAAAAAGATCAAGAACTGGATGAGCTCAGCAAAAGATGGATGATGGTGATCTGGTTAGAACTAACAGAGGTGCCACTTCACGCAAATCTCCATTTAGATCTAGTTTTCAGGAAGAATAATTGGAGCCACTTCTGTTAATTTAGCATTCTGACTATGATGATCTTATGTTTAATCATCTTGGCAATTTTTTTTTAATTGTTTGATCTCCTAGCGACTCTCAAAAAAGCTTCTTAAGTCCTCTAGAATAGTGATACAGATACCTTGCATGATCCTTTTGATGATTCTCACCCATATTGCACCTATTTTGTCTTCTTCAAAATGTGATAGATTCATTGCAGTGTAAATTAGGTTTAAATCATGATTTTTAGTGCTACTAATTTAGCTTATGTCCCTGTCGGGTTTTGCTGTTAAAATATAACCATTGCAAAGCTGGTCACATCTTGTTTCTTTTAATGCCTGGGATGCTTTTGTAAGTTAAGCCAATCATCTCTAAAGGAATCAGATTTTATTATAAGGAAAAACAGCATGTTAGTTTATAACAGTTGATAGCTTTAAAATACAGTCAGAATTACAGAAGAAACTGAGTGTGTTTTCACTGAGTTGTATAAATTTTAAATGAAGTTCCTAGGCAATATCTAATTCCTGTTCCCCCTTACATAAGCTTATATAATAAATATACAAAATATTTCAAAGCATTTCAGCTAAAAAACATGGTAGAAAATTAAACTTATGTCAGCAAGCATTCATTAAGTCTGTCAGTAGCAAGCCCTTATGTTTTAAAGAATGCCAAAATGCTCTGAAAGCCAGTGGAGTGCTCTGTGGAGTCCTTTCTTAAAACAGCAAAATATAGGTTGTTTGGGAAAAAGGACTGACAATCACTGAACATAAAGAGAAATTGAAGCCATATATTTTGGCAGATAGGACTTCAGTTAGGATAGTTTTCCTTGTCTTATTAACAAGCACATGTTTGATCATTTGGCTTAGGTCTCCTCAGAAAGGAGCAAAGCCAGCAGCTGAAGGGTTGTTCCTAACTGGATCTGATTAACAAGAAATCATTGCCAGTAAAGAAGGATGAAATCATTGTCAAGAAAGTTATTAGTGGCATCAGACAGTGGTTGTGACATTTTGACTGCTGCATATGGTGGGGTATGAGAGTGTAAACTTTACACTAGAATTCCTGCAGTTTAACTGTATGTACTGATCTCTTTCTTTTATAGAATCAAATAATTGTTTAGGTTGGGAAAAGACCTCCAAGATCATCAAGCCCAGCCGTTAACCTAACACTGCCAAATCCACCACTAAACCATGTCCCTAAGCACCTCGTATACCTGTCTTTTAAATGCCTCCAGGGAAGGGGACTCCATCACTTCCCTGGGTCGCCTGTTCCAATGCTTAACCCTTTCAGTGAAGAAATTTTTCCTAATGTCCAACCTAAACCTCCCCTGGCACAACTTCAGACCATTTCCCCTCGTCCTATCACCCATTACCAGGGAGAAAAGACCAACACCCACCTCTCTACAACCTCCTTCCAGGCAGTTGTAGAGGGTGATAAGGTCTCCCCTGAGCCTCCTCCTCTCCAGGCTAAACAACCCCAGTTCCCTCAGCCGTTCCTCATAAGACTTGTGCTCCAGACCGTCCACCAGCTTCGTTGCTCTTCTTGAAACAGTGCCAAGTACAGGGGCACAATCACTTCCCTGCTCCTGCTGGCCACACTATTCCTGATACAAGCCAGGATGCCACTGGCCTTCTTGGCCACCGGGGCACACTGCTGGCTCATATTCAGCCGGCTGTCAACCAGTACCACCAGGTCCTTTTCTGCCAGGCAGCTTTCCAGCCACAGAAACTATAGAAACTATACTTCAAGATTTTCACCTTTTTATAATAAAGCCAAAGTACAATGAAATGTACATACTATTTAAATGCCAGAAATGGCAAGCTGAAAAAACAAATTTATCAAAATCACTTTCACAACATGTTTTCTTTTCTTTTCCCCCTAATATCCTCAGGAGATAGTTACTCGCTCCTTGCTTTTATTTTTGGTTTGTTTGACACAGACAGGGAAGACTGCCCTTTTTGTAGAGAAATCGAAATTCACAGTATATAAATTGTAATAAAATGTCATTATTTTAAAGGCTTAACAGTAAGTATTTATCTTTTTCATTTTTGAAGATTAACCCATTTTCAAACTTTATTGCCACTAGTTAATAAAGGATCTTTTAAAAAGACTTTCATTTCATATCACAATAACAGGTTCTGTGTTATTTTGGAAATACTTAATATGTTTGCACAAGTGGTTTCTTTAATATGTTTTGTGTGTACAAATTGTAGCTGTGTTCTGAGAAAGGAGCCTTGATATTGTCTCAAAAACCTTTTTTGAGGGGGTTTCAGCACATCTTTTTAGCTGATTTCAGACAATGTTACCTAGTTACATAGATTCCATAAATGTTTTGCATTTCTGTCTAAAACAATATGGAAATGAGATAAACTTCTCTTTAAATTCAAGGGGATGAAGTTCTAGAATGGAATGGTAAACCCTTACCTGGAGCTACAAATGAAGAAGTTTACAACATTATTTTAGAATCAAAATCAGAACCTCAAGTTGAAATTATTGTTTCAAGGCCTATTGGGTAAGGCTAAAGACTTGCTTCTTAAGCACAGTTATTCCTTCTACTACTGGGACTTTTAAAGGGACTATTTGTGAGTTCACTATGTTTGATCTCTTAATAATGGAATTTGATTCACTTTCTATTATTGACATTCTGTATATTCCATTTTCTTCACTGTTGTTTACAATCTTGGATCTTTGCAGTGATACATATAAATATTAATGTTGTTTTCTGTATGGTCAAAGTACTAACAAGGTTTTTGCCTTTGGCAAGGGAATATTGGTGGATCAAGTGGACCTGTGCACGAGAAAAATCTGTTTTTCAGGTTGTTAGCTTCCTTAAATCACAATAGCTTACACAAGTATTCACGAGTAGAGGGAAGCACCAACAAACATTGGGCATTGCAGGATTTTAAGAAGTCAGTGCTAATAGGATTTTAAACAGGCCTTCTTTAAAGAGCTAAAAAAAAAAGAAAACTAAACTCTTAATTGAAAAGGCTCTATTTAGCCTTAAGTGACACTGTCATCAAAATCAAAAGTGGAAAGAAAAATACCTTCATGTTTACTAAGGTACACAAACAGTTTCATCAAAAATTAGTATTAACGTGTTATGTTTATGATCCTAATTTTTATTTTTTATAAATCCAGGTTTGGGGTTTTGTGGTAACAGTTCTTATATTCTTGATTTCCCAAATAAGCCTTAGATCATAAAATCTGTTCAAATTGATAAGATTAGTGGGGTTGGCCCTGCATTTGTCACAACTGTTTTAGTGATATTCTACACTCCTTCCCTGAACACTACTCTATTGGGACCATTTTAAGCTAAGTCTTGCAGGACTGAATATTAATCATACATTGTAAATTCACGTTTATATTGCAGAACAGAGCCACATGATTAACAATAAAAAGTGACTCTTGGCTAGTTTTAAAAAAATAATAACATTTAAATCTCTCTGTAGTTTGTCACCTTCCCAAAGTTCATGTGCACTCACTGTAAGTCTCTAAATGCCACTATCCTGTAGGTAGATGGTAAACTGTTTCCTCCTTATGAATGCATGATTATTTAATTAGATATTTGCTAGATTTCATCCTAATTAATAATTTTATCTGCCTCAAATATGATAAGTTTTCACTTTTAGAAACAAAAAACACTATTAATTTTCAGACTAAAACATTCTTCTTTTGCATGTACTTCACATCAGCTTTTGATGTTTCGTTACACTGTGCAAGTGTACCTATATTTTACAAATGAGTTCAGCCTTTTTAATTGCAATCACTACTAAAAGTACTTAAATAAAATTAACATTTGTTGCTAATGGAAAATGAAAGCTTGATGCAATAATAGTGGTTGTTAAGAGCTAAAATTACCATCCAGATGGAGATTGTGGGGGAGTAGAAATCTTATTTTACATTCTTTAGTCGGATAAATTAGGAGACATTCTTGACTGAAAATTGCAAATTCAGTCCTATGTCTTTGTAATTAAAAATAAAATGCCATAAGGAGATTTTTGGAAGCCTAGTTTTTATGTTTAAATAAGCAGAAAATATATATTGATACCAGACCTGACTTGAACTCTCAAGTGAAGAAAACCTGAAAATTGATTTGTACAACTGATGTAAAAAAAAAGTGCTAGATTAGTATTTTAAATAATGAGCTTTAGATATATTTATTGCTATCAGTATATTTGCAAATGTCCTGTATCCTTAAGCTTTTAAGATAGCTTCATTATTAAACCAAATGGGTTATTTTAGTCCATGAATTTGCTAAATCTAACAGCTCGAAAAAATGAAGCACAAGGTGACCACGTTCCAGTGACATATTCTTAAAGGAAAATCAAGATTAAAAAATCAAGATAAAATAGCACAACTGTCAACCTGAGGCATAGAATGTGAAGTGCATTCAAAATCAAAGAATGTTGCTGAATCTGAGCGGTGAATACAGAAATAGTACCAATAAGATGTAAAGTTTTGTTCTGGATGACCCATACATACTTTTTTACAGACATAGGCAAAACCAGAGCACATCAGATTGTGCTTTTATTTTGAGACAAATGGAGTCTTGACATGGAGGTTTTTACATAGTGTAACACCACTGTTCTTGAAAAGTTGTGTTTTGATTGATTTTTTCTTTTTTTTTTTTTTTTTTTTTTTTTTGAGAAGAGCAAATAAATATGCCAAAGCAACTAGGGCGTATAACTTTGAAATGTAAAGATATTTCCTTTCTCCAGCAGTGGTGAGGCAAAGCCCTGTTGTTTTGTATCAGACTGGGATTTACCTGTCTGCCATCTTAAAAGAATAAAAAATACCAGACATTGTACAACAAAGGGAATCCTGATATTAGTTAACAAAAAAGAATGTACTGTACAGGGTTTTCTTTGTCTTTTTTTTTTAATAATGATAACCTACGTAAATTGCGTTATGTAATGGGAAATGGTTTGCTTGCATTAACAGATTACATTTTTTCCCCCCTAGCTTCTCCTTGTCTTGTTGTCCAAACTATGTGATTGTTGCAAATTCATGATGGGGATTTTTATTTAACCCAACAAATATAGTATATCAAAGTTTAGTGTCAACTTTAGGTACTGACTCAGCAAAATCATCGCGGCTTGATACAGCATCAAGTGGTAATCCATTACACCTAAAATTCCCGTGAGGAAATAGGTTCCCGCAAGACCTGAAAAATGATATTTTGTCTGCATAATTTAAGTGTTTCCATCTCTCAGTATTAATAATGCAAATAATGTAACAGCACTTTTAATGGTCTCTATGTAAAAAGTCCTAGTGTATTAGGTCTAAAAAGCCCCAATATGACACAATTTGGCTTAAGTGAGTAATGGGAGGACTGTAAACCCACAAATTAGATGACTGCCAGTTACAAAATTGTTGTCTAAACAATTTGCTCAGGCTCGTAAATTTGGATTTCTCTGTCTCTACCAGCAAATGTAATTCTGAGTAATGCATAATTGTACGACGTTTATTAGACAAAAATGTGAAACATATAACACTATTAGCAGATGAAGGCATAACAACAATAAACAGTATAACCACAATAGTACCTTAAAAACTCCATAGAAACTAATTGATGCTAATGATTGCAACACAAGGTAGATAAGAAACCTATAAAAAGTAGAATTAATGGATTGGCTATATAAATATGAGGGGAAGAATTACCTATGAATATGCATGCAACGGGAGAGGCAGTTAACATAGGACAGCATAGAAAATCCTCTGGCAATATGCTTTTTGGAGAAGAAACCTGGCATGGTAGCGAACTCACCATCTCTTGTATGCTCGGGTGAGCTCTATTGGATAGTGCAGGTAAAACAAATGTCTCTTCTTCTGTCTCTCTTTTCTTTGTCAGATGCTAGCTATCTTTGCTTGGATTTCCACAGATAATATTGCCAAAATTGTTGTTTCTCTGGTGTGATTCAGCTCCTCTGTGCAGGGACTGCTATTGTGCTCTAGGTCCTCATGAGGAGGTTGAACCTCGATCATAAACCAGGCAGTACTGAATTCCAGAGAGTCTCTCAAGTAACATAATTAGTACAAACTGCAGATTGATCTACAGGTTCTGATGGGAAGGAGTGGGCTTGGATGTAGGAAGATGAGCACTGGGACAAGTGCTCAGAAACTCTGAAAACTCTGAGGGGTGTAGAGGACGGTGCTTCTGTCCCTAGAGCAACCTAAAGAAGTGTGAGTTAAAAACACGTTTGAATTTGGTTTGTCCTCAGTGATCAATCTTTTGACTATAGCCCTCAGAGAAATGATAGCTGTTCCTATGTTTTACAAAATAGTCATCCTCACAAACCATATATCTGCACAGAGCAGTCTCAACCCGAGGTATAGTTTTGTTTACTTTATGTATTCATTGAGGTGTGGAAGGATTAGACGTAAGATAGTCATATATAATATCACATAAGATCACACAAAACCTTTGCCTTTCAGGGTAGAGATCGATAGACAAAGCTCGATGTCAGCAGCTCTTTACTGGAATGTGTCTGACATTGCTTTTCTGATCTTCACTTTGCTCTGAAAGCAGAGAAAGGTTTTTTTCTTCTTTTCAATAAGTGGTTGTGCTACTTCTTACTTTGTTTTTACCATTTGCTTGACTAGTCTGATTTTGAATATTATAAGTAATGAGATTTCTACTAATTCTTCTAATTGATTTTTTTTGTAAATCATAGTGTTAGAATGTTTCCTGCAGTATGTAAGAGCAGGCTAGATAGGATTTGTTTTCTTACCTGGTAAGCTTTAGATTATAGTTTCTTTTTAGAATTTTCATTCTTCAGTTAAAATACCAATTTTTTAAAAAAATACCACTCATACATTTGATAAAGTCACTAGATACATAATATCAGTTATTTTCTTGTGGGCATGTAATATTTAAGAAATGATTATGTAAAGTGGATTATTGAATTTGTAAGAAGTTTGAATATGGACAGAAGCAGAGGTTTGAATTATTTCATGTCCATTTTGAAAACAATTAAGCATTGCATACTTAATTTATTTGTTTCTTTGCTTTTTGTGTCTTGCAGTCCTGTGTGGAGCTGTACGTAAACAAGATAAATATGTTAGGGAAGAGAAGATTTCATAGCAATAATTTTATAAATATATTTATACATGTATTTTAAATATTTATTTATTTATAAAAGCTGTCCATTGCACTAAAAAATTTCGGAGATTATCTGACGGTGAACGAGCTCGAATATGGTGGGGATGAACAGGGTGGGTGGGAAAGCTGCCAAATAACATTTCTATTGCAAACCACGCATTTTGTCAGGAGTTGAAATTTATGTTCTAGCTTCCACTGTCCCTGTCAGTTATTCATAATCACAAGGGGTTAAGAAAAATACGTTAAAAAAATTATACTTTCATTTCTTTCCTGCTTGATGAGTAAAGTCTTAAGAAAGATCTAATTATTTTTCTCATTTACCTTTACCTGGCGAGGACTTTCGTATCGTCAGGTCTGAGTGAGGAAAATACTATCAACTTGACCATTTTGTCAACCACCCAGGAATCGGAAAACTTGACAGAGTAGGTTGCACTTTCCATGTTGAAACACTCCTTGCACATCGTTTAGATATCCTAAAAGGGATATTATCACAGACAATGCTATACTGCAGACAAGAGTGTTCATATTCTAGCACAAGTAAACGTTGCAAACTTAATGTATTGAACAGAAAAATCGGTTTGAATATGCTAAGTAAATATTTCAGACTCATGAGAACTGCCCCAGAAATTGAAGGGAGAAAACATTAAGAGGAAGAAGTCTGCACAGCAGCCCTGCTGTGCAACACATCATTAATCTGTTTTATATTTTCGTGAAGTAGTACTATGCCATGTCAAGAATAGGTAATGAAGTTATATTTCCATGAGTTTGGGGAAACCACGTTACTCTTGAATTACAAAGTGGAAGTAAAGACTCTTGTGGAGTGATACAAGATGTAAGCTGATGTGAGACAGTAACTCGGAGCTGAAATAGGCTTTTTTAAAACATGTGAACCAGAAGTTTAAATTGCAGGACATGAAAAGCAAATTTAAGACTAATTGATTGGGCACCATTACATTCCTTTTCTGACTTAAGTGTCTCTTTTGTACGTGACTTTTATACACCTAGGAGTCTTCGTTTTATTGACTTACAAGTCAGTAAGATAGTGCTTCACTGAACAGAGAAATGCCCAAATACCTTTAAAATGCTCAGCTTTAGACTAAAATATTGTAAATGTTCTTCAGAAAAGTTATTGTAGTTCCAATTTTGCATTATTTTGTGTAGACAAAAATATTTCCAAGTTATTCACTAAAGAGCTTAATTTCCATTTTTCTGCACTTCTGCTTTGCTAATGTTTGTACAATAACAGTAGTTTCTTGCTCTCACAATGTATTTTCAATTATTTCTAAGAACAGAACATAGTCAGGAGCTAACATCATCCAAATTTTGATGGAAGAGTAAATTTGTTGATGGCAAAATTTTGATAGATGTGTGTGGACTTAACCAGTTTGATTTTGCTTATACCTGTGTATGCGCTGAGTATGTGTATGTTGAAAAATATCCATACCCAATAGTAATATGGTTTGATTTTTTTTTTTAGCTTTTGAAGAAATGCATTATTCTTCAGTTTGTTTAATATTGCTAATGCTGTTTGCTTTTTCTTTTTATTATTATAAGACATTTCCATCAGTTTCATTCAGTGAACTCCTTGAGACGTTTATATAAAAATTACTAGTGAGTTAATCTATGTCTTATTTTTTGGATTTTTTTTCCCTCCAAAAAATAGTTGAACATCCGTAGCTATACTACTACCTTTTGCCACCTTTCTCGTCCTAAAAGCTCTCAAACTTTTTTGTTGTGGTTGTAAAAATATTGTGGAATTCATCCATTATATTACCATGGTAATGCTCATATTGTTATGTCTGCTAGTTCCTTAGCTTGATAGTAGCTTGCATTAGTAAGATTTTCATGAATGCTAGTGGAAGATCCTTCTTTAAATATTTCCCCTTTCTTTCCCTGTAATGCACTAGAAAAAAAACCCAGATCCATATTTCTAAAAAAGTGTCCCAGAGACATATTTGTTACAGCAGGAGGTCATCTCTGTTGTTTCTAATAACTATGTGTATATTCATGTTTTAGTGATATTCCACGGATTCCCGAGACTTCTCACCCCCCGTTAGAGTCTAGTGAGTACACACCTTGTTCCTTTCACTAAGCATGGTCTTGTAGCCAGCACAACCATTTCAGCTATGAATTTTCTGAAAGATGAACACTGGGAGACTGCATTGGCTCTGAAGTTTTTGTGTGACAAAATTCAGTGGGTTTTGGTCTTGTGTGTTAAATTAGAAACAATACAGATTTGTTTAAAAGCTATACAGATTTTTAATGTTAGCAGGATTTTATTGTTTTCTTCCCTATCTTTTGTTGTTAGAAACGTACTGGTATACATGCTGTGACCCAAAACAGTAATTTACTTGCCCTAACATAAGAGAGAAAACAGGTATAAGGGGTTGTCAAAGGTACAAATGGTGTCAGGATTTCTCCTCCTGCACCATCCAGCATAAGTTCTTGTTTCTCTTTTTTTTTTTTAACTGTCCCCTTTGAACAATGTCAGCTAGAGTGTGTGAGGGCCATGGCTCCCAGTCCTTTCTCATCTGAGCCTTGTCTGAGGTGCAGCCAGAAACCTTCCCTGGGAACAGGGTCCTGTGGGGCCAGCGAATGTTGTTACACCAGTCATGAGCTCATCTCATTAGTGAGGGCTCTGCTTTGCTGGTGGAGAGCTGCTGATGTCCAGCAGGCACCAGAGCATCCTCCATGCCAGACACATGTCCTGCATGCCTCCCTGCGTGCCAGTTCCTTGGGAGTTAAAATTTCAGAGGGTACCAGGAGTATAATCCATACAGCAGATGTGGGTTTTTTCATCAAAGATTTGAGATCACAGAATCATAGAATATTTGGGTTGAAAGGGAGATGTGTAATTATGTCAGAGGACAATATTTTATTTAAGACACTTGGTATGGTTTGTCACTGCTATATGAGGAGCACTCTTTTCTATGTTATTTCAAATAAAAATAAAAAAATCGGGTTTAATCTGGGGTAAGGGTATCCAGACAGTCTTTTTCACCATGCTATCTACATCAGTTTCAAATCTTTCTGTATATTAATCCAGTTATACTGTAGCTTTATACAATTGAAAGAAAAAGCAGTTACCCAAATTAACTTCAAAATTTTGGATAGGAAGTTCATGTGTTTCTCATGTATTTTTAGGTTCAAGTTCTTTTGAATCTCAGAAGATGGAAAGGCCTTCTATTTCTGTTATATCTCCAACCAGCCCTGGAGCCCTACGGGATGCACCACAAGTCCTACCTGGGCAGCTTTCTGTGAGCATATTTTTTTTTTTCCTGAGTTGTTAATGAAAACCTATGAAGCACTGGTCCCTCAGCCCTCCACATTCCCAAGGTCTACTGGGAGGTCAAGAGAAATGTCTGCTGTTGGTAAAGACTAACACCTTTCAAATGTTTTTTAAGACCCCCTGTACACACTCACCAACCATCACTGTAATCATAACAGAGGTAAAGAATTGTTGTCTTAATACACCAAAGAGCGCAGGAATTTGCATTGAGAGGAGCCCATAAAAGTGCCTTGTAACTTGTCATCCTGTACCCTCTGCACTGAAAATGGTCACTCTTCTGTACATGCCCAGTAATCCGCAGATAACAAGCATAGTACCACTTTATCTTCTTTATGGGAGCATTTGAAGAGCTGTGTACTTGTTACACTGTTCAGTAATGCATTTTGATTTAGATACACACTGCATCCTGGAATTGTCTGTAATACTAATTGAAGCTGTGCTTATTAAACATACTGTGAGTACTTAGACTTTGTTTTGCACATTCTTGTATTTTTTATATTGATCATATTACTTTCTAAATATGCATCAGGCTCAAAAATTTCATAATGTTATGATTCTCTTAAGAAATGATTTAGCTGTATATTCTACTTTTCATAAGCACATTTGCAAATTGACAAGTCAGAGTGGATAGATTTCAGCTATGCCTTGAGTTTAGCTGCAGTCAGGGCTTTCTATTTGAATGTAGCTTTTAAGGTGCAGAGCTAAAACGTGCTGGTTTAAAGGCACTCTCAGATACAAGTTATGCAGTGAGTACAATAAACAATGCAAGTATAATCAGGCACCACCATTTTATTCAGCTGTGGTAAATACAAAAGTCTTAGGAAAGATGATGGTATATACCAATCTAACTTAATTAAACATTAAGGGATTTGAAATAAAATATAACTCATTGTCTCTTGGAAAAAGCAATGGTTATGTTGTGGTTAATAAGATGCAGTCTGAAAATTCTGGGTTTTCTCCATTTTCAGTAATGCTTTCTGGTAACTTGATTCTTGTAGGTTAAACTGTGGTATGACAAAGTGGGACATCAGTTAATAGTAAATGTTCTGCAAGCAACAGATTTGCCACCAAGAGTAGATGGACGCCCCAGGAATCCCTATGTAAAAATGTATTTTCTTCCAGACAGAAGGTAGTAGTTTTTTCAGTTTAGAAAATTATCTTGTAATTTACCATGTATTGAATCAACTTTTAAATGAATGGTTATGAAGTAAAGAATTTATTTAAATAATTTGTTATAGTTAGATTCATTATAACAAAAAAAACCGCACTTGAATCATGAAAGTCAGTATCAAATGAGCTTTGTTGGCTTTTGGATGAGTGTCATCCACTGTACAGCAAATACTTTTCTCTTTTAGGCATTATGAGATCAGAAAGAATGAAAACAGTGAGTGCTTGATGAGTAGATGGCATTTTGTGATTTATGTCTACAAATAATTTACAACAAATATTTATGTTTCAGTGATAAGAGTAAAAGGAGGACCAAAACAGTAAAGAAAAGTCTAGAGCCAAAGTGGAACCAAACTTTTCTCTACTCACATGTACATCGTAGAGATTTTAGAGAACGAATGCTTGAAATAACCGTATGGGATCAGCCAAGAGTACAAGAAGAAGAAAGTGAATTTCTTGGAGAGGTGATACATACAATCACATTTCTCCTGAGTTTGTTGTTTGGTTTTGAATACCTATGCATATATATTTTATATATGTGTTTGTGTGTGTGTGTCTTGAGAGTAAAATTAAAACCTGATAATTTTCTACTAGATTCTTATAGAGCTGGAGACAGCACTTTTAGATGATGAACCACATTGGTATAAGCTACAGACACATGATGAATCTTCACTACCTCTGCCTCAGCCATCACCTTTCATGCCAAGAAGACATGTTCATGGTGGAGAAAGCACTAGCAAAAAATTACAAAGTAGGTCCAAATTCCATTCATCTCTTTTAGATTTTGTATTAGAACTGCTGGATATGGTGTAATGGTATTTAACTTTCATATACGAGATAAAAATACTACTTCATAGTCTTTAAACATGATGAAAATGCGTGTCAGAAAAGATACAAATTATGACATTATGACATGGCAGCCTTTCATCTGTGATGCATAATTTTTAAGTATGTGAAACCTTTTGGAATTGGTTTGGTTTTCACTAGCAAAAGAAAATTGTTCAAATGTTTGTATGCATAAATTTCCTTTAAAATAGAAACATTAAGTTCATAATTATTGGGTACTTTTTTATTAATTAAAAGCTTTTTACTTAAAAAAAAGAAAGTCCTTAAAGACTTCTGAGGCTTAAAAACTTTCATCATAAAGTTAGTCTCAGCCTCCAATATGCTCATTATACAATCAGATGAGAAGTGTACTTTTGCAGCAAAGAGAAATTGTATGCATGTATCTGGGAGGTATAGTTGTTTTGACGAATCTGATTGCAGGTTTGTATGAGGCATGTTAAAATAACGAATGTATTGAAATATTTTAATCTTTTAGCTTCTCTGTTCATTTAAATTAGTTTAAGATTTATTTAGAAATGAGAAGGAGTAGGGGATTTTTTAAAAAAATTAATTTCCAAGCTATTTTTCTGTTTTTTCTTAAACATGGAAGTCATTCATTCCAGCCAATGCCTAGGAAACTGGTGCACGTTCAGGAATGAATTATAAAAAATGTGATACTGCTATAATTGCTGCATGAGGATATGTATAGAGTGAACAAATTAAATGTTAGTTTTCATGAGATATTTGAACTTTTCTAAAAGCTGGCAGTGCTGTTTCCTCTTCCCCTCTCTCACCATATGCTGCCACCAGTCCTTTACTGTTCAGCAAGCTGATTCAGCTTACTCACTGAAATAGCACAAAAGTAATTTTTTTTTTCTTCATTTGAGTTAACTTTTTGCTGGTTTAGTGAGATTAACTATCCAAGTAGAGGACTACTGAGGAATTAAGAGAAGAAGGGAAAAGGAGGCTGCAGCAGCTGTAAGATGTTAAATTGGCTCAGCTGTCTTGTGAAATGTCACTGTCAGTCAGTGCAGTTTAGTTCTCCTCCTCTGTTGTTTAGACTCAAAATAATCTTTTTAATTTCAGTGGTGCGTAAAATGAACGTATTTTTACATTTTGTAACACGACCAGATGTTCAGGTATTTGTTTACCTTACTGTTGTGCAGGATCTCGGCCAATCAGTGATAGTGACATCTCAGATTATGATGTTGATGATGGTATTGGAGTTGTTCCTCCAGGTGCGTGGGTGAACAAGCATGGGCCTGCTTCCTTCTTCTTCTTTTTGCTTGTTTTTTTTTTTTTTTTTGTTTTGTTTTTTTTTCTTGATAACATTTTGGAATATTGAGGATGCTGGTTTCAGAGAGTGCATTGTGGAAAAAAAACAGTTTTCCTGATTATTCCATGGTAACTGTCCTAGATCATGGTGAATTAAAAGATTCTACTATTCATTCATTGATATTTCTTTTACATATCATTCTTCATATGTGAACCACGGGATGGTTCAAATTGTTTAACTGTTTACTGTGTAATGTTCCAAGCATTATTTAAAATATAAATTAAATTTTAAAAAATAATTTTAAGATCATAACTCAGATTTTAATGTTTACTGCAAGCATTCTTTTTTTTATGTTGCTTTTTGCTTGAAACTTAGTTATAATGCAGTCTACCATGGACTTTACTGATAATGCATGGCTGTAGATTAAGATGCATGCAGCATGGCTATATCTTTTATAGTTTTCATAAGCCTTCATGAACTATCATTACCAAAATATATACTTGTAAAGACTATCATGGTTTGACTTTTAGTTCAGCATTCCTTACATAACTGAAAATCTTGAGGATCATTTTGGATACCACATTTTTCTGTTTCTATTTGACTGTTGCCACAAGTCATGTTGGGAACATGTTTCCCAATTGTCCCAAACTAACTGAAGAGTCGCTATGTCATTGCCAGCACTAAATCAGTTTTTCTGTGGATGTTTCTGATGAAAATCACTTAATTAAATCATGGTGGGATTTGAAAAGCTCTCTCTTTCTGATCTGTGTTTAAAATAATCTGAAAATTTATTTATTCATTATATAACCATTATAAAAAAAACCCACTTATTTTATTAATGTGATCTTATTCTGATGTCTATTGAGCAAAATTCTCTTGATATTGATTGGGTTCTTTCTTTTAATACACTTATCACCTCAGTTACTAAGAAGGAAATTTGTTCAGGTATGTCTAGTAATTATATTTTCTTTAATGGAATGATTAATCTTGATATTTTTACATCAGCTGAGAGAGTGAACATTTAAAATAAAAAAAAAAATCATAGGTTCTAAATACTTTTTCCTGTTTATTGTTTCATTTTTTCGGTTGGCAATGTGGATACTGGCACATCTGTGTAGACTTACTTGTGTTTAAGGTTTAAGTATACTGTATGAAGAATTGGTGCTTTTTTTCAGCTGCCAGTTCTTCAAGGCCTCTGCCGTTTGCAATAAACCTGTGATGGGTTGACCCTGGCTGGTGCCAGGTGCCCACAAAAGCTGCTCTATTGCTCCCCTCCTCAGCTGTACAGGGGAGAGAAAACGTAACAAAAGGCTCGTGTGTCGAGATAAGGGCAGGGAGATCACTGAGCAATTACTGTCATGGGCAAAACAGACTCGACTTGGAGAAAAATTAATTTAATTTATTACCAATCAAATCAGAGTAGGATATTGAGACATAAAACCCAAATCTTAAAACTCTTTCCTCCACCCCTCCCTTCTTCCCAGGCTCAACTTCGCTCATGATTTTCTCTCTGTCCTCCCCCTCAGTGGCGCAGGGGGATGGGGAATGGGGGTTGGGGTCAGTTCATCACACGCTGTCTCTGCGTCTCCTTCCTCCCCAGGGGAGGACTCCTCACACTCTGCCCCTGCTCCAGCCTGGGGTCCCTCACATTGCAGACAGGCCTCCATCATGGGCTTCCCTCTCCATGGGTCCACAGGCCCTGCCAGGAGCTTGCTGCAGTGTGGGCTTCCCACAGGTTCACAGCCTCCTTCGGGCATCCACCTGCTCCAGTGTGGGGTCCTGCAAAGCCTGCAGGTGGATATATCTGCTCCACCATGGACCTCAATGGGCTGCAGGGGGACAGCCTGCCTCACCATGGTCTTCACCAGGGGCTGCAGGGGAATCTCTGCTCTGGTGCCTGGAGTACCTCCGGCCCCTTCTTCTGCATTGTCATGGGTGTCTGCAGGGCTGCTTCTCTCACATCCTCTCACTCCTGTCTTCTGACTGCTGCAGTTGCTATTGTGCAAATTTTTTCCCCCTTCTTAAATATGTTATCCTCGAGGTGCTACCCCCATCACTGATGGGCTTGGCCTTGCCCAGCAGCCGGGTCCCTCTTGGAGCTGGCTGGCATTGGCTCTGTTGGACACAGAGAAAGTTTTCAGCAGCTTCTCACAGAAGCCAACCCTGTTCCTCTCCACTACCAAAACCTTGCCATGCAAACCCAATACAAAACCATTTTCCATCTGACAGGAAACATTCAAAATGTTCAGCTGAATGTATTGGACTCTATTCACTGGGTCAGCACTTGAGTGACTGATTCTCACAGAAATTTCTTGAGACTGTGCATGCTCAGGTGTGCCTTTGAAGAATGCATGGGTCCAAACTTTCTCAGAGATCACTGTAGAAAATGTCAAAGTTTAATCTGTAGCAATAGGATTTACAATGATCTGAGAGTCTCTAAACTGAAACTCGAAGGGCCTGGTGAGGAAACTCCTTTTGAAGTCCACCTAATCAGAAACAGTCTGGCAGCTGACCTGACCAAGCACAGATTTGTCTATTTTGTGTTTAATGGACATGTTTGGCAATTGTAAATGGAGTTTATCTGTTTGTGATTCCTATACGAAGTGGATGTACATGTAAGTGTGGGGGGTTTGTTTGCAGGTGCAACCTTACTTCTTAAATGGGGATTACACTTTAGGCAGAGAGGGGCAAAGAAAGTTTCAGTCATCAGCCATGGATGTGTGACAGCCTAGACAGCATATGAAAATGAGTTTTGCGGTGAGAGCTGGAAAAGTTTGCCAGTCACACCATCTACTGAATTGCTCGAGAGTCTTAGGCACAGATTCATGAACGCGCTCGGACACCAAGTTCAGATATGCATTTCTACCTTCCTATCCAACCTTCTTTACTTATCACATTGCTAAATCTTCTAAGACTTTGGACTGCCACCTTCATTTGCACTGAATGAATAGCACAATATCTTCTCCATCTAACAGTCTTGTCTGTTAAAACTAAGTTGCGTGCAAGTTCCTTGTTGTGATGCAGGGTCTTTATTGCTTCCCTCCTCCTGCCCCCCAATACCGTGTACTTCACTAGAGTGCACTGCAGCCCTTGCCTGATCCAGATTTTTTACACATTCTCCTGCAGCGAGTACGTGTGGGAGGGAATGACTAATATCCATATTTCCCCATAATTTAGGATGATGATGTAGCTCGGATGCACTCTTAGACCATTTTGCATAGCCTCTATTGGCCTCAACTAGATTAGTCTAGGATTAAGACATTCCTCCTCAACAGAAGTAAGAACTTCAAAATTGAGCTTACATGTGACGCAAAAGAAAATGTTTCCCTTTAAAGCCCCTTTTCCTTCCTTTATCACTTACTTGCCAATGTTTCCCACCGTGGTTTATCTTTATCAAACGTATATTCTTGCAATTGTTGATTTATTTTTTTCTTGAAATATTCAGAAGAGAAGGAAGTTATTTTGCCTTCTTAACATCTCAAGATTTTCACAAATATTATTGCTCATTTTCTAAAAAAAACAGACACACAACTGCAAAATGTAGAAGCTGAAAAGTTCACTTGATCGCCACCATAAGCTAAAAAGGAATGATTAAAATATTTTGGCTAATTTAACTGACATTGTAAATCCTCAAAACTATAATTTCAAATGTTTTGCCAATTGCTAAAGCAAATGCAATATTAGCATTTAGTAATAATTGAGAAAACTGTTTTTCTAGAGGTTTCAGCAGCTGCAAAGAATCACTGCTTGTCAATGGAAGTAAAGACTGTTACATCAAAAATAATGGCACTTTGATAACTTCAAGAATATTTTAAGAAAACTGTATTTCCCTTGTCATACCACAAATGTGTCTTATCTTTCATATAACTGTACTGTCATCATTTATTATTAGTATCTGGCAGTGATCTATATAATTTTTTTTTTTAAAATCAGCTCTTAGAACTGTTCATAAAAGGAGTTTATATCAACAGCTGAAAGTAACTTTAATTTGCAACTCGGCTTTAACAGAATTGATTTTTGAGAGGTTTTTGTGGTATGCCCACATCTAGTTACATGAAAAAAACCATTCTTTTAAGTATCTTAGCTTCTTCTCATATGAGAGTTTCTTCAGTCTCTTAATGATCTTTGTGATCCTGAGCTGGACTCATATCAGTAACTCCATGTCTGTCTCGTACTGGGGAGCCCAGTACTCCAGATTGGCCTCGCCAACGCTAAATACATAGGAAGGGTCAGTAAAGGATCAGGAAAGGTTTTAATAAAAAACAAACATGTCTTTTTAACCAAATCTTCAGTAACTTTGTTAATTAAAACAAAAAAAAGCTGATATATAGTTGGCAATATCCCAGAGGGTATTTTTAATGAGCTGTATTGCTTATGCCATGGGTAACTCTTCAGAACAATTTATTTTTCTACCATATGTGATCTGTATAAACGGTTGCATCGTATTTACCTTCCTCCTGTAGCAGCAGGGGGACATCAACGCAACACCTTGTCATTGTCTGTATTGTCTTTAAAAAAAAAAAAAATATTCTGGTACCAAACATTTGCTAGAACCATTTTCATCATCCACCCAGCTTCCATTTCATTTCACACCTGACAGTTTCCCATGAGTAACTGAGAAACTTCTTCTGCGTAAACTACCATCAGCTTGATTGCTGCTATCATGCTGGTCCATGCAAAGAATTTCTCTGCTCACTCTGGAGAGCACAGAGCCTTTGTATTTGAGAATATAAGAAAATGTTACTGTTACTGTCACTGTCATGGTCACTATGGAAGTATGGATGCGATCTGACCAACTTGACAATACTTGAGTTAATACTTAGGATAAATGTGAATTGCTATTGCTCTGTCTGTTCTGTAAGCTTCATGTACAAGCAGCGCACAAGTTGCAGATATTTTTCCCTGGATAGCTTGGCTATGAAGAATATATAGGATAAAATTATCTTACTGTACCAGATTTTTAAGTGTGCAGGATAACCCTAGGTGTATTTTTTTAGGCAGACTAGAGATACTCTAGAAATATATTTTAAGCTGAAATTTATATTTAAATTTTTTATATTTAAATTATATGTATTTCAGTAGGGTTGCCTAAAGCTTGGAACAAAGTTTTGGATTTCTTTGATTTTAGTGTTGAATAAATATAAACTAGTGTTCCTTCTGATAGAGATGACAGGATTTTTTCTAGAACAAGCTTATTTGGGAAATGAAATATCTTTTAGCACATACAGCTTAGATTTAATTAGCCTGGGAAAGAGAATACATCCACCTTTTTTCGTATAGTCTTCTTTTCCTCCTCTGACAAAAAGAACTGGCATTTTCTGCAGCAAACTTAGTACATGAGATGAGGGAATCTCCCCTGAAGTCTGAGGGGTTCCCTTTTTTGCCTCAAAATTTGCACCCAGGCCCTGTTCTGAGATGAGGGAGATCCTTGTATTTCTGCCTAATTTTATTACACAGTTCTGAAACACTTTTACAGCAGATAAGGTACTCCAGCATCACAGTGCATCAAAACCTGCGAAACATTGGAGTGCTGCTTTGTTAAAAGGTTGATAAACCTCAGTAGATACTTTCATGCGTGCCATCAACTTTTATGGATCTATTTTGCAGTCAATACTCAGTACAGCTTTGCTCTTAAAAATGCCCATTAAGTGGCAAGCATTTGCTGTTTATGTAGCGGCTAGTGAGCTCCCCCCAAAGTTTTTTCTCCGTGTCCTCCTCTCATTTTCAAACAATCACTTGAGTAATGTCACATTTTAAATGTGAAACTATATTCATTAGTTTTATTTGACATGTCTCACTCAGTGTTTGAGGACAGTGCACACATACGCACAACGCTATGGTCACTGATGTTTGTTTCTGAGCAACATGATATGTTCTTATTACAAGTGCTTTTCTTTGGGCCTCGTGCTACCCTCTATCAGTACTCATACTGTGTCCCATTTCCCCGATTTATTAACCTCATCTCGCCTCTCTGCTTCAACAAATGGAAGAAAAAAGTTATTTCCCATGTTTTCACACCAGCTGCTATACTATAGACACGGATGTTGGACAAAATGATAGCAGAACTTACAAAGGTCTTTCTGCATATGTTTCTAGCTGACAGTAACCAGAAAGTCCATAGTGTAACTGCCTAATCATCTTTTTGTTAATGTTGTCCTTCATACCTGCCTTCCCTATCATATTTGTAGTGGCAAATATATTAAAGGCAACAAAAATTAGTGAAGCTAATCTTTTTTTATTTGCTAAAGATGCTGCTGGTATAAGGCTGAGAGCTTCTTCAGGATACTACAACACCCTGGTGCTCATCTGTTATCTTTGGATAACTTTTGCTAGTTTGCTCAGTACTGTATAAAAAGTGTGTATACAATTCTGGAGGCTGTGATATTATAAGCTGTATAGTCAGGGAAAACAGTCTTAGAGTTCCTTGGATGATAAAATACATAATCTAGTAGGCCCCTGTTCTCAGTTTTGTGTTACTAAAATAATTTGTTCTATGGTGGATAATGTTCTTATTTTAGGATTACTTATCAATTTATCAACAAAGTGTTTTTCTCCTAGTCTGATAATGAGATAATGTGTTCAGATAAGTTAGATGTTCATTAGAATAGGTTGCTAAACCAATGTACAATTTGGGAGAAAAAGCATGAATGCTTTCTTGATGTTTGTGCTCAGGGTTCAGACTTGCAGCCAAACAGGTTATTAAGTGTCATTGAATACGTGGCCAAGCCTAATACAGACTCTGTATATGGGCCACACTTTTAAGAGGGCTATAACAATTCGGTAGAAGATCAGAGCAAGACTACAAGAATTATACTCATTATACAAAATATGAAAAAAAACCCAAACTTGAAACTCTGTAACAAGATCCTTAAAACGTGCAATTTTTAGTTTATGCAACTGACGATTGAGTGACTAAATCATAGTTTTTTCCTGCATGGAAAGAAGATTTCTGACACAGGCTGGTTACAGGAACTTAATGCTAGAGAAATTCAGAGAAGCGGCAAAATTATTATTTTGGAATCTAAACAATAATTTCTGAAGTCATTAAGGGATTACTCAAGGGATGACCCTTTCTTTCATCAAGGGATTTTCTGTCAAAGGATTCATGTAATCTAATTTATATGTCTGGAAGTGAGCAACTGAAGTCTGAGCAAATCTTCTTAGGCTCTTTTGGAAGGGTAACAGGCACCTTTTGAAGCTGTTCGTCTTACCGGGCTTCATTGTCTGTTTTAAGATGGAATTCAAAGTGTGTATGAAGGCAAACAGTGCGCTAATGGAAAAAGACACAGGAATATCAACACTTTAAAATGTACTAACATTCTGCTGATTTTTTTTTTTCAATCCTATGTAAAAAACTATTTTTAAATTCTATGTAAAAACTTTGCAGCTCATTCATAGTATTCAGAAAAAATGTTCTGCAGAGTATGCAACACCCAATATTCTATACAATATACTCTAAATGCTTGTAAGTTTTGAAACTAGGTGGCTTTGGCCAAGTTCAGTAGAGAATATCTTTGTATTTAACTGAAACAAGAGGCAGAAGGATGCTTTATATATGAACAGTCCCAGATGAGCCTGTGCTGCTATACACAAGCATGCCTTCTCCAGTTGTTAGGTAAGGTAAACCTAAATTGCTTAATTTCCTTTCAAGTATTTGCTACTGTATGACAATTTTGAAATACAAGTTACTATGGGTACTCTTCCACAAGTCAGAAAACTATTTCAGTCCTCTCCTCCACATCTTCCAGTACAAAAATCATCTCAGTTTCTCTGTCTCTGTACATGTAGACATTTAAAGGTAATGCTTGTAATTTATCCTGGCTGCATGGTACGTCAATATGCCTAACAGCTGAATGACGACTTGAAAGTTCTGTAAGCGTTTAGATGTGTGTTCCTGGAAGGACTAACCATCTGAATTCTTTCCAAACTCAGACTTTTATTCTCTAATTTCCTTTTGTTGCCCTCTTGCCAGTAGGTTATAGATCTAGTACTAGAGAAAGTAAATCTACAACGCTAACTGTGCCAGAACAGCAAAGAACAACACATCATCGTTCACGATCTGTATCTCCTCACCGTGGCGACGATCAGGGCAGGACCCGTTCACGTTTACCAAATGTGCCATTACAGAGGTAGGCACCACAAGTTAGTGAAACACTGGGTGGTTTCAAGTTTGTATAATCTGTCACTATTAACTTTTCTCTTGTTCAGCAACTTTTCACAGTTTTAAAACTTTTTTTGTACCTTAATCTAATAATGTAGTATCTGAACTTGATGTATGCTTTTATTAGTCTTTCAAGGGCACTCATGAGGTGAATTGTAACTTTCTAAGACTTAACTATTACTGATATTTTCTCTGTGATTCATCATCTGTGTACCATAACTAATACATAGTTTTGGAAATGTTTTTTCAGTCAGTGGCTGAATCTTGTATAAAGCCACTTAAGTATACTTGTAGGATAATAAATAGTGGCATGTACAAATTGTGTAATGACTATGAATTGAGCTAATTCTGGATTAACTGCAAGCTGAAATAACCAATTATATATGTAAAGTGACACTTTTAATGGAAAAAGTGAAAAATACTTTACAGAATCAGGCAGTGATTTATAAACCTCTATTATCTGCATTTATACCTTTTACAACCTATTATAGGACAATCCTTCTTGAGCTTTCATTTGCATGCTTTACGCTTTTTTTGAATAGTGCCATGCAGACTGTTTAAGCACAAAAATTGACCCACTTGATTTTGCTTGTTTTATTGTGCAGGGCAATAAGCTTTTCTTGCAGCCTCTCATGGAACCCTAAATATCAACCAGTTTTTACCAGTTTTCCTTTCCTCCAGTCTCTAGGAAGCTTTGTTCTTGAATTGGTGCAAGAGCTTGAAGTGTTGCACTAGCAACATCATTGCCCTCTAGCTATGGTAGTTTACTGAAAATTTACCCTTCTTAGCTGAAATTTGTGTACAAAATTCTGTGCTACAGTACTGTCCTTATCCATCAGTTCTGTGTATGGTTTTTGGAGTTTCATCACTGGTCATTTAATACCAGAAATCCTCAAAGTGATGCTGTATGCTGAAAATCCAGCTTCTCCTCCTGGTTGAGAATCCTGATGGTCTTGCTTCTCCCTTTCTGTCCTCTGTGACATATATACTGTTCTTGTGCACTGAAATTGTCTGTGCTTCTTAAGTCTCTGCATGCATCCCCCTCTATTACATCAGTTCTTATGGATGAAACTGTTTCACTACCCACCAAATCACTTGCTGTTGCATTTCTCAGTAATGCACCCTTAGCAGATAGAAGAGTATGACTGTACATAAAACAAACTGTGGCACAGACTCACGTTTTTTATAGTAGAGAGAATGAGAGCTCCTCATTCTGCTTTTGCGAACAATTAATGTGTGCTCTTGTATCTTTCCATTCACAAGCATGATGCACAAATGAGATATTTCATAGTCAATTCCACCCATCCTTTCATTTTATACTTTGAATAACTAATGTTTCTTGTTCCAATGGCAGTTATTAAAACAAAGGAAGAATCAGCCCTTCAAGTAGTAGTTTCTTTTCTTGTTCTTTTCGATGTGAAGAGCGCTTTAAATTACTGTCATGGAGGTCAGACCCTACCTGCATTTATATAAAATCATACCTGTTTTGTATAAGACTTAATCTGAGGTTGATAAAATCTGCTGCAAGTTCTCACATCCTACCCCAGATTTTTTTGAAAGAATATTTGGAGATACCTGCAAGAAGTTGACAGCACAAAATCAGCCCCTTAGAAATCTGGCTATGAATCGACAAATGCACAAAACTTAATTTCATGTGAGGTATTATCGGTTCTTGTGTTTTCTCGGTTACTCTTTAAGCACAGGCATTGAAAATGCCATTACTGAATCCATCAGTGTACACAGAAACAGGCGTGTACTTCTAAAATGATAGAAATGTGTGCTTTCTACTCTTAAAGGTGTTTTTTTTTTTTAATCTTAGGAACCGTTATTTTTTTAGAAGTCATGTATTAACAATTCAGTGATTAAAGATTTCCCTCAGCCAACTTGTATTGTAATCCATTAAACTATGTTACTTTTGAGAAAACAAGATTATCATACACATTTCTGCCTTTCAGGAGTTTAGATGAAATTCATCAAATGAGAAGATCACGTTCTCCAACTAGACACCATGATGCCTCCAGAACTCCAGTTGATTACAGATCCAGAGACATGGATAGTCAGTATTTGTCTGATCAAGAAAGGTACATCGTCAGTCTGAACATAGAACAAGTTTGGAAATGTCTTTGTTGGTTTGCCTAATTTGCAAGTATTCAGTAGAAACATGACTGATAGTAATGGGGAAGGGAGAGAAATCATCCTAACTGACAAATCTAGTCTCATGGTTAAATTATCTATGCCTCTTTTTTGGTAAAACTGTGCTCTGGTTTGACAGTAATAGCAGGTATCTAGACTAACTGTTCTTAGGTGTTTGTCCTAGAGTATTCTGCTGTTTGATGAATGAAGCCCAGATATTTTTGCTAGAAAACCATAAGACTACATGTATGCTCTAGCTATTCTTGTAACTCAGAATTTTTTCTGTTTTGGTAGCCAGCAAAATACCAGGCATGCCTTCCTACTAGTTGGGAGTTGCATATGCTATGTTTTGCATTCCTGTGCTTATAGATTTTGGACATCTATATATGCAGTCTCACAGCATCTTATATAACATTCTGGTGAACTTGGTACAGTACCCAAGCATAGCAAGGATAGTTGTCTTGCTTGTAATTAGCAAAAATCTCCCATCTTAGATGCGTGACACGTACATATCTTTCCCCAGAGTACATGGAGTGGCTACACTCCTCAGAGAATTCTTGATCTCTCCTAGTAGGCATTGTTTTCAGCTATCTAGGAATATCTTCTAATAAAATGGAAGAAAATGAGAATATCTGTTTAGTTTATACCTGAAAAACTTTAAAAAGGTATTTCAGTTCAGTATTTGGGAAACATAATGATGACAGTCACATAGTTTATCAATGTTTGTGGTTTTGTTTACTTCGGAAAAAAATCATACAGCTAAACTATAATGGCAAACTTTTACCATTCACACACGATCAATTGTCCTAGAAATGTCTTTGAATTCATTTTTCTTTTTAATAAGTTAGAAAGTTTTTGCAGTAAGGATGACAAAACCTTTCCAGGTGATCTGGTAAATTCAACACAAAACATACATTTCATGGTGATGTGAAAACATATAAGGAATAAACCATAAAAATCTCTGGAACTCTGTCCAGTTTTGAAGCAACATAGAAGTTGAATAACAGATGGCTTTTGCAGTTAAACTAGTTCAGTTTTGTATATGATCTTGCCTGTTTTGCCTTTTTTAATGTGATAACATACATATGGGAATTAATGAGTTATTTGGAACATTTAAAAATTCCATCTTTTAGGCAAGAAGTATGTACAGAATTGTCTAAGTTATGTTGTTGTACTGAATTTCCTTTCAGAGGTGAATTGAAATGCTTTTAAAATGTAGTACTCACATATATAGTTAAGCTAATTCAAGTAATTTCCACTTGTTGCAAAGGTTCCATGTTATTATTCATTATAAGTAGTGATATATTCAAAAGACTCCTGAAAATATTTATTTAATAGATTTCTTATTCAGTAGATCTGAAGAGGAAGAGATGTTAAAAGTTGCTTTTGTCAGTAGAAATATAGAAAGTTAACTGTCTGGAAAATTTTCTTCCAGTAAATCCTCATACCATTACATAAATGATGATATATGCATGGATTATGCTTGGGGTTGCATTGAGGCTTTCTTGGAGATGAGCCATCAGACCAGAGCCACAGCAGCCATGGGCTGCTGGATTTGTTCAGAGGAGTAAGACACATTCTTCAGTTCTTTTCCATGTTCAGAAAACAGTTTTCAGAAGTTTAAAGATCATACATGAAGGATGTACATGGCTTATTTGCACAAATTAAAGATGAGTCCATGTACTTACTCTTCTTGAGTAATAATCTTGTCTGCAGTGGCCGTCTTTTTCCCATTTTCCTTTTCGTCTTTCCCACAGATCTCTTCAGTTATGGAGACTGTGTAACTCTTGCAGGTTTCACTGTCTTTCAGTATGTAAGAGCAGCATCATAGGGAAGATCAAAACCAGCTTTTGTTGAGGAAGATTCTCTGTCACATCCAAGGACTTAAAAAAACTTCATGCAGTGTTATGTATTAGTATCAATGGCAGTACAAGTGTTGTTCATTTACTGAACCCTTCATCTAAATAAGTACATTCATTTAGATACCTACCATAAACTTGGTTTGGAAGGTGAGCAATTACCCAATAGTTACATAGCAGAAACTGCAGTTGCTGATTATTTTTGATCATTTTCTCAATGATCTGTTATTGGCCCCAAATTAATATTGAATATACTGAATAGATCTTTGTAAAAATACTTATTAGAGTCTCTTATTAAAGCACCTGGTGTGATAAATTTCCAGTGGAACTGATTTGTCCACTTTACGTTTTTAATATGTGTTTATATACCTATATACACATGTGTATGTGTGTATATATATAAACCTGTTAGGAAAAGCTTTTGATTAGGAAATCTAGCTAAGCAGTGTACTTTGCTGTGAATTTAGGATCATCATCCAATTTTCAATGCCATGGCCCTTGTCATTTTTGTAGTGTTTCTTTTGTTCCTAAATAAATCCGTTAATGTGAATACTAAAATACTCACTTTAGAAAATACTTGTTTTAGGAAAATAATCTTTATTTTAAATGCCTCCAGTCTTAATTTATTATAGAACTGTGAGTATCTTCTTTTATTATCAGTAATCTACCATGATAGATTCTTTTCCTTTGTTTTTTTAACTTGAAGATTTCATGGTGGATTTGCTATTTTATATCCTTTTCTGGGTGAATTTTGTATCAGTTTGCCGTGGACCAATTACAATAGATACTCTTTGTCTTAGCAAAGGTAGAGTAAATATTAATGATGTAGCTATGATTTAATGTGGACTTTGCATCTACTTTGCAACTCTTAAGAAAACGGTAACGTTTTCCCAAAATGTTCTGTCAGTCTTCTGAGCTTATGGATGGAAATTTTGCTTGGAAAAAAACAAAAACAAAACAAAAACAATTCAGTTCACCTTTAATATATTTTGTTGCATCAAAATCAGGCTAGTGGTTCCAGATGCAAAGTTAAATCTCACACGTGACTCACAAGCCGTTATTTCAAGCTGCCCAGTTTAGAATTTTAGATAAACATTACCTCTACTGCATCAATTAAATGGGTCATTTTATAATGGCATGAAGCACAAAACACATTGAATAACTGATGCTTTATCTATTTTGTAATATTTTCTCTCCTTGTTGCCATAGTACTTCATATGATTCCCTGCTTCTTTTAAAATAGCACACTTCCATGAAGTTTAGCTTTAATTTCATATTTACGATAATTCGGATGTTTGGAGCTTGGTCTTTCTAACTGTGTTGAAGTGTGTAAAACCTCAAGATTAATTCAAGGGGTATTTCATATCATAGTCATATTTACCATAGGCATATATACGTATTGATTTTACCATCTAGCCAGTTGTAATGTGTTTGGTTACAGTAAATGAAAAATAGAAGAGACAGATGATTTTCTTTGGAAACAATAAGAAACAAAAAGTCTAATGGCAGATTAGTAATTTTCTTTTTTCTTTAGGACTGCATTACGAAATACTGTCAAGAACTATGAGTCAGAATTTATATTTGTCTAAATGTAAGGTTTCCAGTGAACATATATTTTTATTTTTCCTGAAAGGGTGACTGGTTACTCTTCCCATAAACTGTTTTGCAGAAAATTAGTAACAAACTCTCCCTGCTTTTTCATGTATGTTTTTGTGGCTTAGGAAGGAAAAAAAACCCAAACAGGCATCTTTTTTTTTTCTTTTTTTTTTTTTTTATTTAAGTATTTCTTCATCATTTAATTCATGAGAAAGGACATTATTAGAGAAATGTAGCTGTTTTATGGATTCATTTTGTCATTAAGAGCTCTGAAACAGTACTTCTGAATTTTAAAAGGACAAATCCTGTAAAATTAGGTGCCACACTAAAAGGAATTTGTTGAAAATGTAGTTACCATCACAGGCATTTTTGGGCTCATATTCTTTGAGAAGTGCAGTCTGGGTTTGAACATTATCAAACTGAGTGGAAGCTTCTTGTTTCTTTTTATGTTTTCATTTGCATATCATTGGCATAACCCGTGTCATCTAATGCTTCATAATTATATCTGTTTCACTCACCACCCATCCTGTCTGTGCAGTGAGCTTCTTATGCTGCCCAGAGCAAAACGAGGAAGAAGTGCAGAGTGCCTACATACCATCAGGTAAATACAGGAGTTCGGTAATCATGAACACATCTGGTTAGTTGTCTGTACTTTGTGTGCCCAACTTTTTTCCATAAGCAGTATTTAGTCCCAGTAAATAAAGAACTTCCTAGTATGTTGTGATTGAGGTGTCAGTTGTTCTTTTTTGTTTGTTTTAATTCAGATTGAAATGTGTATATGTTTGTGAACTTCAGTAGTAAGGATTAAAGCAATTGAAGAAATTCTGATTTTTCAGTTGTATTTTGTGGTAGATTTTCTGTCTAGTCACAGAAGTCCTGATCTCCCAATGCATGACAGTTTATAATTCCAAACATTTCTTTTTAGTTGTTTTTATGTTTTCTTTTATTTGCATTTTTATGTTTGTATTACAACCATGCACCAGCCAACAATCTTTACTTGTTGTGACACCTAATCTCATGCTAATTTTGGTTATTTGTAGAGGAAAGAACAGTGATTAATGAGGGCTGAGAACCCCAGGTTTGGGGGGTCTCCTATGACTTGTTTTTTAATCTACAAATTGTGCTGTAAATTAGATCCAGGCATAAACTTTGTAGCTTGGGCTATTCTTCAGTCTTCATTAATCTATCATTCCAAAGCTTGGAGATCCCTGTCTCAACTCTTCGCAATATTGTGAAACTAAACGGGACTGAAATACCTTTATCTAACAAATCTAGCTCTGCTCCCCCTTTTTTTTTCACCACATTTGTTAACCTTGTTACAAATACATGTCAGATTGTGTAGAAAATCTTCCAGTAAGAATCAGTAAAAATGCAGGTTGTAGTTGAAGTAGTTAACTGTTCAACAACTTCAACCAAGTAGTTAACCATTTTTCTGGTCAGGATCTGGGTGTTGCTAAGAGTTTTACATCAGCTATGTTAAAAATCGTCAAACTTTTAAAACCCTATTGTCTAATGTACTTACTCATTTACTTGGTGTAGGATTTTCCCCTACAGAATAGGGGGTTTTTTTAATATTCCTTGAGTTTCTTTAATTCTCTTAATTGAATATGAAGCATCATCAAAGATGCCATGATAGGGTTCTGTTCTAAGGCACAATAGTATAAAGGTAAAATAATGGGTATGAGAACTTAAAAAAAAAACCCTGTGCATCAGTGAAGTTGTTCAATTAAAACTTAAGTTTTCGTTATCAGGACAATGAGCTTCATTCTCATACTTCAGCTAAAAAAAGCTTTTTCCTCAACATTTTAAATTTTAAAGGTTAATAATTGCTTTCACTTCCTGTTATATCAGTTTATTGTCATATAATAGCAATTTTTCTGCCTCCTTCCTATAGTCTTTCTCTTTCCTCTGTAGCTTCTGTAGTTTCACCTCCTTCCTTGCCCCCAACTCTAGGCTTAATCTTGAAGATTATAGTTTTCATTAGAATTCTTCAATGTCAATGCTTAAATTCTCACTTAATTCAGGAAGTAAATCCTGTATTGTGAACTTTTGATGCACTTTGCCCAGCTGCTATAGATTTCCAATAGTTTTACAAATCTGCTAACCAGTCTGGCCAGTTAACCAGCTAAAGATTGTCCATGGGCAGTGATAGAGTTAGGAAAGAGCTACACTGAATTCAGAGATACAGCCCTTTCTTGCCTTTTTTCTTATTCTAATTATTAATGAAAGAAAAAGAAATCAAGAAAAGTAACAAATTCACCCTATTAAAGTAACAGTAATGGTGGTATATTATAAAACAGAATGGTACTTTTAATAATGTCTTGAAGGTGAATGTAAGGGCAACAGAAGACAATAGGTTGATTTTTTAAAATTTTAACTCTGAGGCTTATATAGCCTAATCCAAGTTTGAATACTACCCAGAAAATTACCAGTATCCATCCTTGACTGAACAGTCTCAAAAACCTTTCAACAAAAATTTGGTCTGCACATTGGTTGCCATCTTTTGTCCTTTGTCATTTGTAGTGGCCTGACATTTATTCATGTTAGCAACATTATAATGCTTTAACCTGGTTTGCTAGACAGCTTGCTGAATAATCTTTTAAGTAAGTGTTGAGACAGCTTCAGCTTAAAACGGGAAAGAAATGTTAAGGATTTCACGTTAAATGAAAGAAATATTGGTATGAGATAGTCCAAGCTACAAAGTTGAGATATATGGTTAGTTTAATACACCGGTTTAGAGTAATACTAGTCCCAGCTGTCCATCCTGTCCATCTGTGTGCAATTATTGACTACTAGCAGAAATGGTGGAAGGAGATGTGTACCTATGCCATAGACCATGGATGGTCACAGTCCATGTCTTAGGTCATGCCCACTGTCATTTGTGATATCTGCTAGCATGCCAGGATTGACCTGATGGACAACTATTCCTTTTTTTCCAACTTTGCGTCATTACAGTGACCTCTTGTAGACATGTCAGCAGTGGTGACCGCTGAACCTGAACAAGAAGGGTCAAAGCTCCTCTGTTAAATCCCTCAGGGTTTTACAAACACTAGGGTTTCCAGGCAGAGAGTTGTTTCATCTGTCTGTGACACAGCCAGGCTTGTAATGTTGATCTGCTGTGCCTAGGTCCAAGCCTTAATAGGAACCAAAATGTCCTATTGGGACAGACTGTTCTTGAAGCTGCAAAATCCTCAAGGCTGCTGGTCCTTCTGCTAATAGCACCACAGCTGTGTCCTGGTAGGGTATGTGGAAAATTGTTAGAACTTGATTATTAATTCTTAACTATTAAATAGCCATGATTCCCATTCAGCAGCCACTGTCTGCCTTTAAATTTCTCCCTTGTTAATTAGGTAGAGCTGGATAATAAAGCAAACACTTCTGGTTCTGAAATCTCACGTACTATAAGTGATGTTATTAGGCGGTTGTCATATAGCATCTCAGAGCAACTATGCTGCTGTGCTGGCTGAGATAGTAGATCTCCTAGGGTTTTTAATTAGCTTGTTATTAATAGTATTTAATTACTGTTAGATTTTGAAGGTGATACACCACTTCAAAAAGACTTCCACATTCAAAAATGCCAGATGGTAATACATCTGTAACTGAGTTTGTGATACAATACATTAGTGTTTTAGCAAGCTTTTCATGCTTAGCTCCTGAAGAGGTTAAAGTCTCTGTAGGCTTAAATAAGGCATTACTGGGAGAAATAAATAGCAAATTTAGTAACAACCTCATCATTTACAACAGCTTGTATATTTTAATTACCAATCTCTAAAAATGGAATTTAGATTACTTTCATTACAAGTAAAAAAAAAATCTAGGCTGTACTAGTATTGTCATGTTTTCATGGACTGTATTAACAAAAGTGTAAATACATAAATTTGTCCCCCAGGTAGCTGTCACAGTAGTTGAGTTGAGAAAAACACATTTTGAGAAATCTACTCATACAGCTATTAAATGTAGTAGAATATTATGAATTTATTTTACGTTCTTATCAGTCTTGCTTTTCCTTTACCTGTCTTTTTATTTCTGGCATGTTTTTGTGTTCTTCTGTTTTCTTTTCTATTCCACCACATCAAAGAAATTCTGTTAGGCACTATAAAACATTACCACCCAAGATGCCTTTACTAGAAAATGGTACTCATTGGAACCTATACAGGTAAGAAGTGTTTAGAGTCCTCTTTGAGTAATTAGTTCCTTTTTAAAAAAATAGTCTTGCCTTATTAAATAAAAACAATTTAAAATGTTTCATACAGTTTTTATAACTGAGAGATAAGGGATATAATCCTAAAATAACCTCATATAACTGTCTAAATTAACCCCTACATTATAAAAAAAAAAAAAAACCAAAACAACAAACCACTTTGTATGAGGTAGAGTTTTCTTCACTGTTAAAATTATATGTTGCATGTTTTTATTTGTAACATTTTTTGTTTATGTATATGACTTCGGTTACATGTCAAATTTATTTTCATTTTGTTTAAATAATTTTAATTTACAAAGCTCAACTCTTCCTGCATGTGCTAAGACCAAATCAGTGATTAGACAGGATATTTCACTCCTTCGTGATTGCCTTAATTCACAAATACCGAAATTTGGAGATGATCTACTTGTTAGGTAAGAAACTGAGGATTAATTCCATCCTCCTGTTTGGTAATTCATATGGATTTGCAAAATAAATGAGCTTCACTGTAAAGTGATTTCACATAATATGTAGTGTATCACATCCTTTCATGTTGGCCTAAGATTTACTGCTGTTAATAAGGATTTAAATTTATTGTTTGGTATTTCTCATTCCACTTTCTTACAAGTGGATGTTGTTCTGTCTCATTCAATTTTAAACATTTCAACGATCTTAGAAAAAAAAAATCTAGCAGTCTTTTGTTTGCTTTTATTTTCTAAACAAATCTTGGCACTGTCATCCAGTCAGTTCTTTTACATTTTCCTTAATTAAATCATTGTGATTCTACATTTTCTGTAAAGAGAGCATTATTTTATGAGTTAATATCTAACATTGTATTCCTTTCTTTGTTTTCTTTTTCTTTCTCTTCTACCATTGGATGCAATGCACTGGCACTAGTGAACTACAGCCCTCCCTTGACAGGGCTAGGAGTGCTAGTACCAACTGCTTGAGACCAGATACTAGTTTGCATTCACCAGAACGAGAAAGGTATAAAATAAAAACTTTGAATTTCTTGTCATCTGTGCTGGTGATCTTTATCAGTTTTGGTTTTCTTCATATGAGTACTCTACATTCTTGTACATTCATGTCTGCTTTGGTATTTGTAGACATTTTTGCTCCAATATTCATGTATGTCATGTAAATTGTGTGTTGGAGTTTGTAAATGCTTCTGGCTTCTTTCTTTGTTTTAGTTCAAGCTGATGTCATTGTTTACAAAAGTCCTCAGTATGCTGATAATAGCATTGCAGTGTTAAGTATTTTGACAAAGTTAATCTTCATCATCATTTGCTAAAAAGTATTATGTTTGTTTCTTGCCTGTTCTGTGGACTGCTAATAAGGTGGTGACATAATTTATAAATTATATGACAAAACTCTCATATTTCAAACCAGAACTGTATTTTTTATCATGACGTATTTTCTACAAAACAGCCAAACTTCATTGCTTCCTTAATCTAATCTGCTGCATCTGCTTTTGCAATTACGAAGCAAATCACTGCATTAAGCTTTTTTTCACTCTGTGACATTATATTAAGGCTCACATAAGTCTTAAGAAGACGTGTTTGTGATTTAAATGAAATGTTGTCACATACATTGTGCAAGCATTTTATGGATGCTTTCTGAATTTTTAATATTTACAGTAGCTTGGTTAAAAAACTTAGGTGAACCAAATAGTATTGGTGTGTTTGACAGATGGGATTGTTCCACAAGGGAATTTTTCATCACTACCTGTGTTTTTTGGCTGAGAGTTATACCACTTTAGGTTGGATTTTAGCTTCACTAAAGGCAATAATAGGCTCCCATTGAGTAGGAATACGGTGGAATTATAATTTCATCTGTGCAGTACATATTTAACTAGTGTGGCAGTTAATAATGTGAAGTTGCTTTGCTAGTCAGCCCACAGTGTGGTTATTGAAACAGTTGCATCCCTTTCATTATCATGGGAGAGAACCTGTGAAGAAAGGCAAGAAGAGCATACTTCTATCTTTGAGACAAGGTTTCTCTAGGGGAACACAGGTTGTGGAATTTCCCTTTCCCTTCTCCCTGCTTCCCACTGCTCCTTGGCTGGACCTCGCTTCTCAAGTTGTGATATCTCAGATAGGTCTGCAATAGTTCTTTCCTTTTTCAGGTCAAGCTCAAGATATCATAGATATATCGCTATCCAAAAAAAAGTACAACAGAAATAAGGCCACTCAGAATGAAATACGGGACACCATTCTAGATGTTTTAAAAACATCATTGTAGCATCATATTAATAACTAAGTGTGTAGATTATCTGTACACAGCTATTTAATGCAATAACATGGACAAAAGCAGAATGTTTTGTACTTTTATTTCAAGATGCCACCCATCTAGTTAAATATTCAGTGAAACAGAAGCTGGCAATTATCAACTACCTAGTCAGAATATTATATTCAAAACTAAACCTGTCACTAGGTCTATTATGTCTTTATAAATCATCTTCAGCAACCTCTGTGCAATAGGCACTGAACAGAATCCGCAGCATTTTTCATGAGCCCCCTCATAAACAGAAGTGTTTGGTCTGTGTTAATGGCCTCTGCTAAACACAAGGTGTTGCCAAATCACCTGTGGGCCTGATCCAGAAAAATTGTCCATTGCTATGAAACTTTGATGTCTTTGCTTCTAGAAGTCCTAAATAGTGACTAAATAGGTGCTTTTGATTTGGGATCCTTCATGGGGTTGTAGAAAAGCTTTTTTTTAATTAAATTATTGTTCAAAATTTCCATTGTGGTTTTGTTGCAAATTAGAAGATCTCTGTGGCTCTGTCAGAGGATTAACAACATGCTTTTGTTTATCTTCAGATGTAGGTGTTTGTCTAATACAGCCCAATTTTTGAAGGAAGATGTTATATTTAATGCATAAGAAACGCCAAATTAATATTTTCTTTTGGGGGAAGCTAATTTTAGTAGATTCATTCTCCACTGTTGAATGCACCTGCTTACTCTTTAGCGTGAGGTTAGTAATAATTTGTATGTAATGATAGAGGACTCTTTAGTCTGAAGAACACAGAATTGAGTTCAAGGTGGGTAGAAAGCATTTTGTGTGGACAAGACGAGAATAAGTGACTTAAGATAAGTTCATCTTAAATAGTAGGAAAGCTTTTTTGAAGGCTCATACAATGAAACACTGTAACAGATGATATGTGAAAGGTTGTCTAGACTTCATTACTGGAGACTGCCTAAGAAGAGATTAAACAAATACCTGTCAGGTACAGTTGGTCCTGCTTGTAATGAAGAGAAACACTATATGGTTTTGTGAAGTCCAATCTGCACAGCACCACTTTATGATTGTTATATTTGAGGGACCTATGCTGAAGGTATTGTTAGTTGTTTTCAAGGTGTTTCCTTTTTTTTTTTTTTTCCTTCCCCAGAATGGAATTGTATATTTTATTTACAAATTTAGGCTTTTAGTCCTCAAAAGTGTATAGACAGACTTCTAAATGTGGCATTACATATTTTCTTCAACAAAATTATAAGTATACTTACCTATGGAAAATTCTTTCTGTTCATTCCCACCAACCTTTGACTCAGAGCATATAGATCAGATTGCTTTAGGGATCAAGAGTTAAAATGGTCCACTTGAACTTTTTTTAACAAGATGGTATTGGCCATGTGTAACTGATAGACAGTAGAGCCCTATTTCTCTGTGTTAGTGATTTATTGGAAATGGGTTTGATCCTTAAACTCTGTATAATATCATTGTTGTCATTTGGAATGTTTGGAGTAATTATTTTTTTTTTTTTTTAAGATACTGCTTTGCCAGTAAAATTCATTGTGTTGACCCACATATGCCAGCAGAAAAATACTTTCAGCAGTATATGATTTGGGGATATATGTCTTGTTAGTTGCACTAAAAAAAACAAAAAACAAACAAACAAAAAAAAAACCACAACAAAAAAAAGACATTCCTATTCTTCTGCTATAAGCTACATCATTTGAACAAGGAAAGTCCATATAACTTGACTCGCAAACTGACCTTGCCCTGACCATAGCCCTGCCAAAGCGTTTTGGTAAATGGTCTGCTTTAGTACAGAACATAATCATTCAAGTAACAAGGGGGGTCAGCAGAACTGCTACCTTGGATTTCCAGGAGGCAGACTTTGGCCTGTTTAGGAGCCTGGTTGACAGAGAGTCCCTTGGGAGACTGCCCCTGAAGGGTAAAGGTGTCTAGGAAGGCTGGACATTATTCAAGAAGGAAATCTTAAAGGCACAGGAGCAGGCCGTCCTCACGTGCTGAAAGATGAGCTAGTGGAGAAGACCAGCCTGGCTGAACAGAGAGCTTTGGCTGCAACTCAGGAAAAAAAGGAGAGTTTATGACCTTTGGAAGAAGGGGCAGGCAACTCAGGAGGACTACAAGGATGTCATAAGGTTATGCAGGGAGAAAATCCGAAGGCCCAAAGCCCAACTAGAACTTAATCTGGCTGCTGCCGTAAAAGACAAAAAATGTTTCTAGAAATATATTAACAACAAAGGGAGGGCTAAGGAGAATCTTCCTTTATTGAATGCTGGGAAAACATAGTGACAAAGGACGAGGAAAAGGCTGAGGTACTTAATGCCTTCTTTGCGTAAGTCTTTAATGGTAAGACCAATCTTTTCTCAGGGTACTGAGTCCCCTGAGCTAGAAGAGAGTGACAGGGACAGAATGAAGCCCCCATAATCCAAAAGGAAATTGTTAGCGACCTGCTACACCACTCAGACACACACAGCTCTATGGGGCCGGATGGGATCCCCCCAAGGGTACTGAGGGAGCTGGTGGAAGTGCTCACCAAGCCACTTTCAATCCTTTATCAGCAGTCCTGGCTAACGGGGCAGGCCCAGTTGTCTGGAGGTTGGCAAATGTGTCACCCATCTACAGGAAGAGCTAGATGGAGGATCCAGGCCTGTCAGTCTGACCTTGGTGCTGGGGAAGGTTATGAAGCAGATAGTCTTTAGTGCCATCATGAGGCATATTCAGGACAACCAGGCAATCAGGCCTAGTCAGCATGGGTTTATGAAAGCCAGGTCCTGCTTGATCTCCTTCTATGACAAGGTGACCCACTTAGTGGATGAGGGAGAGGCTGTGGATGTAGTGTACCTGGATGTCAGTAAAGCCTTTGACACCATCCCCCACAGCATTCTCCTGGAGAAACTGGCTGCCTGTGACTTGGATAGGTATATTCTTTGCTGGGTAAAAAACTGTCTGGATGGCTGGGCCCGAAGAGTTGTGGTGAATGGAGTTAAATCTAGTTGGTGGCCGGTCACAAGTGGTGTTCCCCAGGACTGGATGAGGGGATCGGGTGCACCCTCAGTACATTTGCAGATGACACCAAGTTTGGCAGGAGTGTTGATCTGATTGAGGGTAGGAAGCCTCTACAGAGGCATCTGGACAGGCTGGATCAATGGGCCAAGGCCAATTGTATGAGGTTCAACAAGGATAAGTGCCAGGTTCAAAATTACCTTGTTGAAGTTTCTGTGATGATCTGTAACAGTCATAAATACCCTCTAATGTAATTGAAAATGTTTTTTTGCTATCACTACTTCCTTTAGTATGATTTTTTTTATTGTCCTCTTCACTGTAACTCAAAATTTCTGTGTTTTTTTTGTTTTGGTTTTTTTTTTTTCTCACTTAAGTTGGGTACCATTTTCTTACAACAGAGAAATCTGTGTGCAACCTCCAGCCTCAAGTCAGGAAAGCACGTTAATAACATTGTGTGGCGTTTATTCACCCTCTGAGCTTCTTGTGTTGCAAGGAATTGTGTGTACTAGCAGTCAGCACAAGAGCAGTTGTACGGATTGGTGCTGCTTGTATGCTTTGGTTCTGAAAGGTTAGTCAGTGGAGATCTGAGCAAATAAAACCAAGGAGCACAGCCTGAGGATTAGTTCATGTACAACAGGGTCAGTGTATCTGCAAAATGCAGCCCAGCAGCTGTGTTAGATTTGTTCTGAGGTGCTTTGCTGCAGTAAGAACCAAAACATTTCAAGGATCTTCAGGGTGTTTGCTGTCAGCTGGTCACTACCAGCTAAACAAGATACAAAGCTGTTACCTACTCAGAAATAGGTAACAGAGAACTTGGAGCTGTCACTTGATCCAGTTAAGACCTGTGCTGATTTCATGTTGAGTTTTCAAAGGTTTTTAGGGATTCTGAAGTATTAGGTATTTGTATTGCATGCCTTTAACGGTTATGCTGAATATCACCATTTAAATTTAAAATAATGTACAGTAAAATAACTGTTTGCATTAGGTACATGATGTATTGTGTTTCCAGTTCTTTTCAACCATGTGAAGGAATAGGTTATTGCATGTTTGTCTGCATTATACTGTGGCTCATGGTCATTCAAAATTCAGTGAAAGAGAGCATGTTCTCAAAGTTCATACTGCATGACCTAGTTAATTCTATCAAATGCTGTTTAATATTTATAGTGGATATCAGCATATTAAGGGCTTTGAGTGCACTGATGCATTAACATTTTCTTTAACTCTTGCTTTGAGAGAAAAAGAAACTTAACTACTAACAACCTATTTTCTGTTGAAACCTCTGAAAGATCTACCTAACTGTTCAAGTGATGCAAGTCTCCTTGAAAGCTTTGTTATTTGCATGTTCCATAAATCAAACCCTTTTCCTTGTAACATGGACTGGAAGGATGCCTCAGAAAGTGAAATATTAGAATATATAGATATTAACTGTACAGAGTTTATGTAAACATTTTACTGTTCGTAATTTAATCAGTATATTTTGATTTTGTAAATTGTTACACATACACTTTTACTATTATAACCACATAATATCCCAACAAAATAAGCAACACCAATCTATAGTATAGTATATACAATTCTAAATTAAATGAGCTTTTTCAAGAAAAAAGTAAGACACCAGTTTTCATTCACAATTCAGGTCCTTTTTGTTACATTTAATTATGTAACATAATCTGCTGGCATGTACTGCCAGGATACAGAGAGATGATCAGGCTGCACACACTTTAGATATACATTTTTAAATGAAAAAAAAAAAAAACAAAAAAAACCCCAATACTTGTACACAAATGTGTGTAGCTTTGTTGAAGCTCATCTCTCATTGTGTTCCAGAAAAGGGTCACTTTATGCCTTAGAATTTTTCTTATAATTCCTAGTCCTATATTTTTACTGAGAATCCGTTTTTCAGTGTAAAGAGCTAGGAGAGATGGCTTTAACAAAATACCAGCCAGTAGTCGACAGAAAATGATGGTCATACGGTCTTTGAAAAGCTCTTCTAGAATTACAACTTCCTATGTGAATGGCAGGCTTTTAGATAGTCTAGCATTTGAGAATATTTGAAAACTTAATGGTAGACTATGTAAAAGATTCATATCGGTCTAAATTCTGCATCTTTGGGCATACATTCTCTTTGTTTCAACTTTAATTTTTCTGCAGCCATAAAAATAGTATACTTGGGAATTAGAAAACTGCTAGGAAAAAACCAATTACTTTTAATTACTTTTTGGGGTATTTTTCCAGTCCCAAATCCCATATATTTAATATTATCACAAACTAAATATCCTATTTTTTTCCTGTTTTATTGAACGGGCAAACAGGGGTAGATGGTCCCCCTCCCTAGAGAGGAGACGACCTACTAGTCCCAGGATTCATATCCAGCATGCATCTCCGGAGGATGACAGGTACTAGTCAACTCCTCCCAGTTGAAAAGTGGCTTACTGCATCTTGCACTCTCGGAGGAGTACACTGAAAGTTAAAATTATGCATATATGTAGAGAGAGACTTACAACCTCCAGAAGCCCAAAATAAAACAGCAGCTTATATATTATTTCTGCATTTTGTTGAACTGTTATAAAGCACCTAGGAATTAATGTCTTTTTTTCTGTTTGCCTGAATGGTCACAAACCATGAAATAGGATGTCTAATACAACAGGACATCATCTGTGTTAATGTTCTTTAGTCTGTTTTTACCTGCTTCTGTAAATGTTGGTGGTGTTTTCACTGTGGTGCTTTATAATATGATAAATATTTGTTGTAGAGCCTGTTCTTGTCTAGGTGTTTATTTTTATGTTTACTGGTGGGTGTTGTTTTTTTTGTTTTTTTTTTTTCCTTTGTTAAACAAACTGGCACTAAGGGGAAAAACCCCCACAAACTGGTATGTTGGAAGTCTTGGTAACACTTGATAGTCGATGTATGTAAAAATTGGCACTGTTCGTAAATTCTGTCCTAAATCAGGATGGTCTCCATGGAACAGGTTTTCCTAACAAGGTAGGTTTTCGTTAAAAACACCAGTGCTTTAAATAAATTTTATGCTGCATACCAGCTATGATTAATAGAAGCATCTTTGGTTTTCTCTTGTCATGAACTTTCTAGTCAAATCAGTTTTGGTATTCTATTGCTTTGGCAGTAGTAATTTTTTCGGTATTTTTTTCTCCATATAGAATGGGGCAGGGGAGTAAGAAGACATAATTTCTATTGAGATGCTAATTCAAAATTTTCCCTTCAAACTTTTTGTGTTATAGTAAATGGCAGGATACCCATGGTTCATGTAAATAATCCACACATGTGTAAACTCTTCGAATTTGCACTTAAAAATGTAAGACTGGTATATGGATAAAACTCATTTACTGTAGTGTTAGTGCTTACCTTCTGCTGAAGTCTATCTGCAGTACTTATATTTGTACTGTAATTTGTTGTGTTTGCTTGATACTGGATGTATTCCAGTAGTAAAAGGCGGGAAGAGTGTAATACTGTTTGGATAGCATTTCTTTCTTTATTTGAGTAAAGCAGCATTATAAATTATAAAACTAAATTTGTGAAACGTAACTTCAAAATTTTGGCAACGTGTCCCTTTGATGGGACAGCTATTAATACTTTACAAATGTACTTTGTATCTTTTAGGCATTTTTAAGTAATTTCACTTCCTATTTTTCAAGTCAATGGAAATACTGTCTTTGACTTCAGTGGATCAGACTTGATAATATCTTGTTGTCATTGAAGTGATTAGAATTAAATCATAATCATATCACATATCAGTGAAACGAGGTTTTCATCTAAATACTGCCATCCTTAATGGAGAATTGTAAGCCTTTAGATGTCAGCCAAAGTTTTGTGGAGAAAGACTGAAATCATCTAATAATCTGTTAGCAAACATATTACAGTAAAGGACCTGTAGGATATGGAATCTATTATGGGAAAGACTTAGAGCTGGAGAAACAGCAGTCTAATGTTCTTACTGAAATGAATGCCACCTTGTGCTTGGAAGTCTTGCAGGTAATCTGGTCACCAGATCCCAGTGATGCAGTCAGTGATGAACGTAGAATGTGTTTAGGCTAACCCCAATCCTGATGACTGGTTGCAGCCTCCCTGTTCCAGGATCTTTCTCCCAGATTAAGAGGAGTTTGGAGAATATTGGGCTCTTTGCATTGCATCCCCAATACAAAGTTAATAGCCCACCTTGTGCATAGAGAGAGTATCAGTGAGGGAATCACAGGTGCTTTACCTTTGTTTTCTACCCTTTAAGTTTAGATTCATTCTGATTATTTCGCATAGCTTTGGCAGTTGGCCAACACCACTGAGTTCTGTAATTTATGGGTTTTTAAGATGTGCTCATATCAATTTGACAACTGATGCAGTGGGTGTCAGGGAATGAGCATCTGATGGATTGGCAGGGGTAACTAACTAACTGCTTATCACCGCTTTCAGATCGTATTTTCACAGATTAATTGACTTTGACAGATGTCATCTTACTCTTAATTTGAATACATTCCAGATTTATCTTACAAGTTGGCCCAATTTGCATATAGGGTGCAATCAAGACGATCTATTTCTGAATACATTTCTTAAACACAACATGCGTTATCTCCAATTTTAATCAATTAAACTCCATTTTTGCAACATTGTATTTATTGGCAATGATTCATAAGATAAATTTTAGTAAAGGTCTTGGCAAGATTGTTGTTATTCTGGAATTCATTCATTTGCCATGTTGGAAAAAGTGACTCCTTGATGCACCCTGACAAGTTGAAGACATGAGTTATATGTTATTTCTGTTTTAAGAATTAACAAATTTTTGGTTAGTATCATGTATTTCTTTAAGACATTTTAAAGAATAAGTTTTGGGTTGAATTTGATAGCATCATTTCTGGGAGGGTTTTTTTTTTGTTTTTATATTAGAAATGAGAATTGGAAAGTGTCTAAAGTGAAAGACTTCCTGGTAACTGGATAACTCTGAAATTGTGAAACTGAAAGTGATGATAAAAACAAGGAGTCGAAGTTGAGCATTTAATGATAGGTGGGAATTTTATTCAGACTGTTCTTTTTGAGAAGCCTGCATATAATTTCAGCATATAACCAAGACTGGATAAAATAAGCCTTTTAAAAAAATGAATTTCCATATACTTTCAGATAAGAGAAGTAGCTTTTGGCAGTCATGCATGCATCTGTAAGAATGCTTGTCCAAGAGTCATCCTGAAGCTAGCTGTAGAGCAAGTACCCTTCTGGTACTTCCATGAAGAGAGCTTGAGGTGTGCCATGCACTGCCAGTGGCAGACTGATTTGGCCTGGATGATCCTTTCCTGTCTTTCCAGCAACACTATGTGACTTGATCAGGGAGACAGTTTTGCAAGACATGAATTGAAGTGCTAGGAATGAGTGTGAAGAGCTACCAAGCCTTCAGAGTAGTTGTGACCTCTCAGTTCACATACCGCATGCATCCAGCCTTTTGGAAATCTTCAGGGAAAATCAAGAAGTATTGAACATGACATTCTTGATGGCCTTAAGGCTGTGTAAATGAACAGACCCACTGCAAACCACTGAGGTCTCTTGTACAAGCCAGTAATAAATAATTTTAAATGTTAGACACTGAATTTTATAAAAGTGTTTATTTTGTCACTTTAGGAATAGTAATTTTTAATTTAGATAAGAATATTACCATATTTCTCTGTGCAGATTGTGTTTACACTCAACAGCAATATAAATACTTTGAGGCACATGGGTCCTTGCAACATGAACTGTGACTAGCTTGTCTATAGATAAAATATTATGTAGTGCTTGCCTATATACATAGCAAGGCCCTATTGATCAGTGATGTGGTGTGACAGTTGGTGTATTTATGAGCTTAAAGAGAAATTTTAACATTTCCTCATCATAATGGAGGTATAGATGCAAATTTATTACATACCCTAGATTACTAGTACACTGCAAATTTTGCCAAGTTTTCTCATTAAAAGCCAAATTTGAAATTTTAAAAAATATCTTACTTTGATACACCTTATCAAGAAAACAGTATCTTTTACCATATGTTCCATAAAACCCTAATAATAAACCAACAAGCTAATAATATTTATGCCAAATTGAAAGCTGTGAACAGATTCTGAGGTTCTTCAGCAGCTTCAACAGAAATGAGAATAATATAGAAATTAAGAAATATTCTGAACTTCATTTGAATTTTTTTGAAAGTTGAGTCAGTTACTCTACTGTGCTATTGAATTGTTAATTATTACTGTAGCAGACAGGCTGGCAGCAGAATATGAAGTTTTCATCAAAATATGTGAAATTAAGAAATCTACTTGCATTTTCAGGAGAATTTCACAATATAACGACAAAATATGAATTTTTCAAATTCCTAGGGGAAGATGTTCTGTATAGGTCTATATATTAATCTAATGAATAGTATGATAATTCGCAAGAAGGATAATGGCAACTATTAAGCCACAGTGCTGCTGTTCAGCATGTAGAATATAAAGGTTTTTTAAAAATGTTGTTGTGGCTTTCATTCTGTGCTTTATTACATCTTAGACTGTTGATATTATGTCTAAAAAATTTAAAATTTCCTTAAAGTGTATGGATTAAATCAATGGAAGGGGAAATGAGAAATACTGCCTTTCTCAGCAGATTTTTATGCTTTTGGTTTATATATTTGACTGCATGTCTCCACCTTCACTGCATGTGACCATCTCTCTGTTTCTGCTCATTCTGTCCAAATTCACATCCATGTTTCCAAATTTTGTGAAGAACAAGGACGCTGGAGTCTTGCATTCCAAAACAGGACAGTGTAGACCACCTAAGTGCTAAACCTGGAGCAGCACAGAGGTATCCTTATTTACCTAAATCATAGTTCCAAGTAAATGAGGTACTGGTTATAGTATATTCTTTGTGTGCTCTGCATAATTCTTCCACATATTTAGGTTTTTTTCTCTTTTTATGTATAATTACATATATGCATGTATTGTTCATAGATAATATTTAATCCTCCATAAAGTACATTTAAGAGGTAAATTTGAGTATGACATGAGTGTTCTTATCCCCAATGCATTCTTCGTACATTGTATGTAAGCATGAAAGGACACCTACCTGTAAATATGTACCTGCCAACGCTCGTGGTGTGCTCAAGCTGAACCAGGACTGCGAGTGCTGTAGTACCTGTTGAGCTATATGGAATTGTATACAGCATCACCTTAGCAAGAGGAAGGAAAGAGAAAGGAAATTGTGATTTTAAACATATTTCTAATGTGTGCTTCTCGCAAGGGCAGCACAGAGAGCAGAGAATAGTGCTATATATTACTTTGTCACTTCACAGGAAAGCATTTCCTGCTCTCAGCTTTTCCATCCTACAGAGAGTAGTCAGTATGAGCTTTTTTTTTTTGCACATAATGTCACAGTCTAAGCAATGACATAAGGAGTAAGAGGATAATAAGCCCCATAACCAGCCAAACAGAAAAATAGAGGGTGACATCATTTGAGTGATAAAGCTGCTGCCTTCAGTGGTTCTAACCATAACTTCAAATATTTTGCTAACCTTCGGTTTTAAGTAAAGCTGCAGGATTTAATTTTTGCTCGTGCAAAAAACATTTTGTTGGAGCATACTGTATCACAATATAATGCTCATCAAATATTTCAGTGGGTACAAATCATGAAAGCCCACTGTGATTATATTCCTTGGATATAATTTGGTGTTATAGCTGTTAAGATATCTTCCAGTTCAGACACTGGATTACTCTTTATAACCACAAAAATTTAAAGGAAACTATATATTTTTTTAAATATTATCTTTATCTATTTGTTTTGCCCACAGTAATTCTTTTATAACTCAATGTATGACATTGATTGTGTCATTGCAAGTTCCTATCATGTTTCTTGCACCGGTGTAAGATGCAGGTTAGGGTTTGTCAACATTTCTGGTCTATCAATGAATAATCATCACTCCCTGCTTTTGACCACTCCTGAAGTATTGTATGTACTTTTTATTCTAAAAAACTAAAACACAGATGATTGTCAGAGATTTAAAATTGTAAATCCTGATTTGTAAATGCTCACATTACTGTGGATAGTAATGGAAATTTTGGAACACACAAGACTTGCAGAGATTTTCATAGGATATTTATAGTCCTGGGTCATAATGGTGAAGCATGATTTACCTTTGTTCTCACGTTTATTGACTCATATTACTGTGCCTTGTTCTTATTTGCTATCAGAGTAAATGCTTAGATTGTCAGAGGTAACCAGTGCCTCACTATCCAAATGTCAGATGAATTCTGTGAAAGAGTTCTGTGGGAAAGGAGTGAAGGAATGAAATAAACTTCTAGCTTACTGATATTGACTAGAAAAAAATTAGAATTGTTTTAAACTGTTTCTCAAAAACTTTAAAAAGTTTTAATACAGTGATATTTTTGAGAAGCCAAGTTTTTATTAATATAGTGACAGTATTATTTAAATCTGATATGATGCAATATTTGTTTTGCTTTTGAAATTCAGATTTAAAAGCAATTTTTAAAGTTCAGGTTTCAATAGTATTTTCTGGTCCTTCCTGCAACATTTTTTTCCTGCTGTCTACTCTGCATTTGTTTTTCATGCTGTGAAGAGAGGACTAAAAGGCCTCTAAGGAGGCACTGTTTCTAATCGCATACAGCCTGTGAGGTGGGAACTAGCTGCACCATTCAGTCAGGATTGATGTTATCTATCTCCCCTGTTTTGGTACCTCATAACTTTCACATCATCAGCCTCAATCAAACCCAATCGGGGCCATGTGTCTCAAGCCTCAAATCACCAGCCTGTTCATGAAGACAGTTGTCACTTTTTCATTTGTCAACCATTTCTGTTATTAGCTTTACAATACATTACTAAATATATAATCTTCATATTTTTGTATTCTTTTTCTTCTTTGTTTATTTCTTTTCTGACATATCATTTCACAGGCAGTCCAGAAAAGTGGAAAGATATAGCAGCCAAAAACAAACTAGGAAAGGCTCCGCAACTGAAACAGAAAGGTAGGATTGCTGATTGATGACTGAACATCTCTTATAATCAATCTGATTCCAGTGTTTGGAACATACCTCTAATACAACTTTTAAAGAAGAAAATTTGTGACAGTACCAAAAGTTATGTTGTTGTCATTTACAGTATTATTTACTTTGTATCAATATTATTAGCACTGTTTGCTGTGTTGCATACCTACAGAATTTTTCTGGCATTCTCCATCGTTGCACATAAACTCAGTGGTAAAGATTAGCAGTCCATACATTTTATGAGCCAAAATCTGAGACCCGTTGCCACTATCTTGGTCTCTATAAGATGAAATTTGGAAATGTGTAACATATTTCGTTAGTATGGGACTAAACCTTTTCTGTGCTTCACAATGATCTTTTTTCAAAAAATCTCACCCATTTTACAATAACTTTGAGGATGAGAAAAATATAATAACAGGTTAATAATTCAAGATGTCTCTGATCAAATTAATTTCCCTTTATAATATGAAAATGTTGCTACACATTTAAATTAAATATAGAAAATTTTGTAATTATCATTACATAAAGTTAATATAAATACTGGGACTTTAACCTTTGTATTCACTGAATTTTGCTGTACTTGTATTATCATTGTAACTTTTAGCTTTGATGCTACAATAGTATAGGATTATGTATTTAAATTCTTAAGAAAAAGTGAAAAAAAAGTATGCGAAATCATAAGTACATCTAGTTAAGTTTTAAACCCTGTGTATTAGCTGAAATAAGAGTAGTGAGGAGGGGTGAGATCCTCTCTTTGTCAGAAACAGATTTATGTTATCTTGATTAGCAGAGGAGCAATGTACATCTCTACATTGTGATGGTTGAAAAATTTCCATGAACAACACAGACACAATTTTTTTTTCAATTAAAATGCACATTATGTAGCAAAATTTCAGAGCTTTTATTTTATTTTACTGCTTCAAGTCCCAGATTATCATTCCTGATCCAAAAGCAATGGTTACATTTTTCTTGGGTTTGATGATTCTGTTGTCACAACAGCCCAGGTGCTTTTTCAGACCAGAGAAATTACCTAAATGATGGCTGAAATCCTTGCTGTGTTTAAATCAGGAACAGTTTTGCCATTCAGGTCACTAAAGCCATTTATTCCCCCCTTTTTTTTTTCCTAACTTCTGAAGAGTAAGAGGAGCCACTGGGACTGAGGTCCAAGGAGCTCACCGTTCTTGATAACCATTCAGACTGTATGGTTAGAAAGTTTGGCATGAAACTGAGAGGGAAGATAAGGAGGGAAACAGATACGAAGCAAATGGGAGGGGAAAAAATGGGAACATAAACATAAACTAGAAAGTATGGCAACAGGAAGGAAAGGAAAATGTAAGAGAATCTGATGCCAAAAGGGCAGAGCAAAAGGAGTGAGAGACAGTGGCAGAATACAAAAGGGAATCCCGCGACACTTGCAGTTGGACAAATCAGTGCATCTGTGTTTGTGTTTACATTTCAAACCCGATAGTTCAGTGTGTGAACTGGGGGCATCTTTCTTCTACAGATGTTAAGATCACTGCATAGGTCAAAACCATGTACCTCAATAAATCCTATTTACACTAATTAGTATTTTACACTAATCTCAATATATGGAAGTTGTAAATCATAATCTTGAAATACTTAGAATTTCAGATATTGCAGGGGCTATAGGAAGTCATTTGCAGGGACTGTGATTATGAGGTGATATGCTGAATACAGCAGTAGCCCATGGGCTCCATCTCTAAGGGTAAGCATGTAGCTGTATTTATGAAGAGGCTTTTATGAGGCTTCGGCAATTGTTTCTCTGCTTGAAATGACCAGTCCAGGTCTGAAATGTTGACATTTTTTTTTCCTGGATATTACAAAGCTTCCTTTTCTGTTTATAATGTATGATTGATGATTTATTCATGTCTATGAGAAAGCATGAGTCTGGAGGCCACTGTGGAATATCACTACAGTGTCTATATACAGAATTTATATGGGATTGAATGGATTGGAAGTTGATACTTCAGTCATTCCTATGCTGGGATAAATTTGGTGTTGATATGGTAATGACTGTAGTCACTAGTGCTAGTGTTTGGGGGGGGAGGTTGTTGTTGGTTTGGGGTTTTTTAGTGTTTTGGGGGGAGATTTGGTTGTTTTTTTTTAAAAAAAACATTGTGAAGTCGCTTTTCACAGGTGATTAGGAAAACAAAACAGAACAAAAAAAATCTGGTGGGTCTTTTTTTCCCCTGAAGTTAAGCAAAGTTACCAAAAGTATTTAGCTACATTTTTACTTTCCAGAAAAGAAAAGCCAGCTCTGATTTGTAATGATCTTAACAGCGATGAACCCAGTGCAACAAGTGCATAGGGAAATGTGAATTGTGCTCCTTATTTTTACGTCTCCATGGGACACGGTGTAGGTTTCTGTTTCCACAAAATGATTCACTGCTATTAGGCGTGAGACGCAAATGTCTAAACAAGTCTGAGTGCTGTAGTTTAGTATTTCATCACAGATATAATATTGCACTAGTGCCAGAAAGTTTTGATAATAGGACAGGCGATTAACTTTCTTGTCAAATGGCAAATATAACTCAAGACTATTTCTTCTTTGAATATCCATTTCTGTCTTAGATTTGGTCTTTATTTTGCAATTTCCAGATCTTGTTGACTATTACCTAAGCAGATTACTGGAATAAGGTATCAGCATGCTATCAGCTTCTCTATAAGGCCTTTCAACATGCTATGTAAGATTAAGTTCTCTATGTCTTGTGATAGCTTAGGAAATGTACATAAAAGGGAAAAAGCAGACCTTTTCAGGATAGTTTACGGAGCCTAACAGTTATTTTAATAATTTGATAAGCCTACCAGATGGGATTCAATAAACTCTTCTGAAGGAGTAAAACTGATTACATGAAAATCAAACATTTTCAGTGCTTATATGAATGAGCAAAACTGTGGTAAAAATTGGTTCATCCCAATCCTTTAACATTTTTTTTTATTTCAGCCCTAACTGCTCACCCCAGAAATGCCAGATTTGAGGTTACCTGTCATATATCTTATGATACATACAGTCTTTAACTGTACTTGCTATATTTTACATAGGACCCTGTGCCAGGAGTGAACTGGATTGGCAATGCTTTCTCATTCCTAGTTTCTCTTTATCGTTCCATAAGTGGCACATGTTTTATTTGGTACATGCCACTGAGGCATCAGTCCAAAGAGAAAGGAATTTTTCTTGTGTGCAGGCAGAGCTAGAACCTGTAGGATTCCCCTGTAAACCATCACCAATTGAATTAATAGGTTTGCTGCTTGAAGTTATCTTCCCCTGTGAGGAACCAGGAGATGAGATACACGTGTACGTGCTTGCTGAGTTCTCATTGCTTACCAGGTGTCATTCCTCTCCCAAATTCTTCTCCTCGCCATACTTATCTCACTTCTGTCTCATGTCCTCAGTCATACACCAGCTTTTGTCTCCCATGCTCATTCCTTTTTGTCTCATTCTACTGATCATCCATTTGCAGACTACTTCCTTGCAGCAACTGATCTTTCATCTAGGCCAGCAAGTCCTTAACTCCATTCTAGTTTTTTCTACAGTTCCCCCTTAGGTCTATTCTTCACTTGCACCCCAAGTAGCATATTCATCTCAGTGTAATACCCCAGCCAATACAGGTCTTAAGCCTAATTTGTCTTCATTTTAGTAAAGCAGATCCTCTGTCTTTCTCTAGTGGAGGGGACAGGTCTGTAAAAGGGGTATTACTGAAAGAGCAGGAGGAAAGTTTCTAAGTCTCGGGTGAATTGTCTGTTCTGTAATGGCAGGACAGACTCTCCTAGTGCTTCGCTGGGCTCTCACATAAATCCCAGGATATTTAGCCTCTAAAATGAGAAAAATCAGAACTGAGAACATGATAACTTCATTAGATTGGAGCATTCTTTCATAATAAAAGCAAGCAAACACTTTCTGGCACGGAGTGGGATCCATATTTACCTTATGGATGTTAAGATGTTTAAACATCTGATAAAACAGATACTTAAAAGCTGATTGTATTAAATAGTTGGCATGGATTACTTTTACAGTCAGCATGGAGAAACAGACATTTTCAGAATTCAGCTCATCTTCGTTGTTGTAAGCATCTCTTATAATCAGGGGAATCTGTCTCTGCAAGAGTGTTACAGTTATCACCAGGGCAAGCCAGGAGTTAAGCTACAGAAGCGTTAGTTTTAAGAAAGAGAATATAACAAGGGTAACCGAAACCTGGTTTTGTTGCCTTGTGATGGGACTTCCACATAAACTGTTACTGATGAAATGGCTTTGAAACCAAACCTGCTTGTTATCCTTGGTAGGAATCTGCACGTTACCTCATACATACTTTTATTTTTAGGATGTCTTTGCAGAGTATGATAGTCATATGAGCTAGAAAGCCCCTTGGTTACTTTGACTGTATCTTGTGGGAAAGTTGTGCTGGGTGTGTGAAGGGAGACTTCCCAAGTCTGCCGAAATTAAAAAAAAAACAAAAAAAAAAAACAAAAAAAAACCAAACAAAAAACCCAAAACAAAACAAAAAAACACCAAACCAAAAAACAACAAACCAAAAAAAACATAATGAAATGATTTCACAGGAAACTGAAATTTCTGAAATAACAGCAGATACAGTAGTACCATTTACAAAATGCTGCACTGTTGTGAAACCAAGGAAGAGTAAAAAGGCACAGTTAGAATACTTTGTCACTCTCCAAACTTGAAATATTTCAGGTTATCTTATACTTGCAGTGTATGCAATTATTTAACTAGTAATATTTATGCTTTATTGTACTAACATGATTAATCATTTTACTGCATATTTTAATTATATTTTTATTAGCGTTCCTTCAAAACTGTATTTCTGTTTTAGGGCTTACAGCAGAAAGATCCTTAAATAGACTCGTTATTTCAAACTCCTAAGGAAAGCAAGGGAATTACTTGGTTTGTGCTTACATATTCTCCTTTTTTAAGACACTAATGGAAATCCAGTTAATATTTTTAATAAAGATAAGGGTATGTTTTTGAAACAGAAATGCTTTGTGATAAAACTAGGTATTCTTAGCCTACTCTGTGCTAGTATTTATGTCATACATGTTGTTAGCTTGTGTTTGCTGTGTTTAAGATGCAGCTAGAGTTTTTGGCCAACTGTCCGCTACATGCAGTGCGGTTCAACAGTTCCACAATTAGGGTCATGTGTATCTGCCGTGGTGAGTGTTCTGCAGTTCATCATTTTGAAAATGGATTTGCATTCAGAATTAATAACTTCAATCTGAAATGTCAACCCTGGTCCTGCAGCCAGGATTTGCAATGTTCTTTGGTGGAGGGGGGCATGGGAAGGTATGCCTAGAGCTAACAACTGAACAGTTTCTTTTTGGCCCTGATGTTTTAGGGGTCTGCTACCATGTCTTTCTAGAAGGGGACTTCCAACCCCACGAACGACTGAACAGCCAGTTATTAGGGGAAAGCATCACGCTCGCTCAAGGTCGAGTGAGCACTCTAGTATCAGACCCTTATGCTCTGTACATCACCTAGCGCCCGGAGGGTCGGCGCCGTCTTCTCCACTTCTGACAAGGTTGCTATTATGTGTACAGCACAGCTTTCATGTTCTGCCTCCCAGGTGTCAGTGTGGTGTTGTACTTTCCTGAGCATACATGGCGCGTTCACTCATTCTGGCACTGTAGATTATCCTCTCTTCATGGTATTTACACTTCTCCCATATCCTTTACACCTCCTATTTCACCGTCCAAATGGTACTTCTTACTGTTGAACTTAAATAGTTATGCAATGTCAGAGTGAAAAATTGGCTGTGTTTTGTCATTCCATTGTTGTGTTTTGTTCTGTATCCATATGAAAATTATCAAAGTATTTTGCTTAAACACTGTGCAGGAAATCACTCTGATCTTATAGGCTAAGAGAAAGTCAGTTGATCTACCTGATGTGAAAGCCAACAATATTTTGAACTTGCTCAAACGTGTTACTTAATATTGCAAACTATCTACTTGCAACCTTAGTGTAGTGAACAGTGCTTATCCACTGTAGTGAGTGTGATATTACTGTAACTGGCAGGGACATTTAATAGTAAGCTCTCCCTCTCAGCGGTCTGCTTCTTCTCATCTTTGTTTTACTTTCTTAAACGTTTTTCCTAGTTATTAGAGGTGGCCCTACTTATTTTAAATGCAAACTTATCAGCGTTCCAAAGGTGTTTGATGTGTTACACTCAGATGCTGTATGTATGTGTAAGAAAAGAAGTAGCCAGGGTGCTGTGAAATAATGGCAGCTAGAATTCCGCCAAAGGGTTTAGGATACTTACTTAGGTGAGAATATTAAAAATCTTGTACATTCTTCACACGTACACACACATGCACTCCTTCAATGGCAAGGTTAAAGGTCTTTTTCCTTTGAGTTGAGGGAAGAACAATGCATTATCCCATGGGAATAGATACTTGCTGTCCAGTTCTGTCTGGTCTTCTGCAGTTACTGAATCAGCACAAAGGAAATACTAAAGTTTTTAGAATCTATAGCTGGCATTTTGTATTGCCCTTGTACCAATGCAGGAGAACATACGTAAATTGTGAGTCATAATCATAAATGGTTCTTAGGGAGCTGCTTTTCGTTCAGTGTTTTTTGACTAGTAGTTTATTAAAAAAAACCCAAACAACAAAACAAAGGAAAATATTTTTCCTTAGTTGAAGATAGTTAGAGAAATTAAACGTGAGACCTTTTAAGTTTACTTAAAAGTATGTGTATATGGCATACACCAAATGCAAACTTATTCAAACCCATCTTCAGTATATGCAACTTAATATGTGTTTAAAGTTCAGAATATAAAAACTCTCTTCATTTGGGTTATTTTACTTCTATCTTAATTTCCTTTGCAGAATACATCAACAAGGAAGTCCCACACAGTCTCCTCCTGCAGACACATCCTTCAGCAGTCGCAGGGGAAGACAGCTACCGCAAGTTCCAGTAAGAAGTGGCAGTATAGAGCAAGGTATCAAATAATGAGCTTATGATAGCTCAAACTCTTTAATTTCTTACCTTTTTTTACTTAAAGTCTACTTTCATAACTACATGTTCAATGCTATAATTCTACCAATAAAGCAATAGAAGAGAATGAAAGCATATTTGTAGTCTGGGAAGTCCAGTAGAGTTTGACCGGTGGATTATTACGCATGGTTTAATTGCCTTAATTTTCTAGTACCCTTTATGTTCGTCTACTTCAAAACTTCCGTTAAAGTCATGGTGGTTTTCAACACAGATCTCGTTTGTATTCAGCAAAAGAAATGATGGGCAAAGATTTTGGCAACATTCTGACATGAGTCTTACTCATTTCATATTCTGTGGTTTATATTAATGGTTGTGCATTGTTAACATAGATTAATAATAAATATCACGTATCTGGTTTTCTTCTGGAGCTCATAGTTCAGCGATTCAAGAATGAAAATAATCACCATGGGAAATGTGAAAGCGTAGGTTATCAGCTCCTTCTTTCTTAAGAATAAACTGATCAGGCAAAGAGTGCTGCTCTTTTCTGAAAAAGACAATGTAGACCCTAGTGGTTGTGGAAGATGTTTTTTACATACTAATATCAAATAAGTATGAATATTGCTGTTTCTTTTTCTAGCAACACAGAGTATGAGCTGTTATGGTAAAATGAAATGGCACAATGGATGATATTTGCATATTCAGGTTTTCTTCCGTGTTTAAAAAGCCTGTTGTCTCATTGACTACAAGCAACAACTGAGATTTCCGTGTGCCACAAGGTTTTCTTCTCTGTGGAAATTAAAGAAATGCTTCTAATGATGAAATACTGTAGTGCATTATAGAACTGTTGGCAGACCGCTTGCTTTAATAGGTAATGTTGCTGACCATGACCTTATCATGATAGATTACCATAGGGGTTTTTTTGTATGATGGCTTACATTAACATGCAATCAGCTTACATTAATTTTAGGGCTTTGAGCTGTGATGACATACTACACCTTCAATTAACACATATAAAAATGTATTCTTGTTTTATACATATGTTCATTCTGAATTATTTATATACTAACACAAGTGAGTTTTATTAATTTTAAACTTTACCTTCGAGTCCTCTCATTTTGTTTTGTAGTGAATCTAGGACTGTCTGGATTATAAACTAGTTATAAAGTACATTTACAGCTTCTATTTCTGCATATTAGTAAGTTGGGAGCTTTTTAGGGAAATGTAACAAGTAATGAATTGCAAATTTCTTTCAAGTTTCTTCTCCAGTTTCAGAATGGTACAATATATAATGATGAATCAGCTTTTAATTTAATGTTAAGTTGGCTTTCCTTTGGATATTCATCTATCATCTTTCTGCTGTTCTTGATAACTGGTGTGTTGAGAATAACATACTAGTTTATGCTTTATTAAAGACATTAGAAATGAATGTAGAACTTACTTGCCATGAAAATGAGTAGAGATGGGATGTGTACAGAAGAGGAAAGAAAAAATTAAAGTGGAGCAGAAGGCTAAAGCTACTCTAGGTTTAGAAAGTTGTCAATACTGTGAACGTCTGTAAAGTAATGCCGTTTCACTGAACTCTTATTTACACGTGTGGTTGATATGCTTGCGTCTTATCTATAAAATGTACAAGTAGAATATGATATGTCGTTTACTTTGTTATATATCATACTGCCTATGTCAAGATGGCTGTATTACAGCACATGGAAACAAAGGCTAAAGAGATTTCCTTCTCTACATAGTACTTTGGTTTTGTCTAAGTGACTGGCTTGTCCTTTTGAAGGGGAGGTTTTCTGATTTTACCCATGTTTAACACTTTGTTCAAGCTGAGAATATATCTGCAGAGAAGTACTAAATTGAATAGATTTTATAAAATGTTTTCAAATGGTTTTGTCAGTATCTTCTGAAATAAGTATGATAGTATGTATAAACTTATACTGTAAGAAATTAAATTCAGTGAGGCCATAAGACCATAGCATTTTCTCTGATTTACAGTATCAAATTTTAATATCAGTTTCACCCCTTTAATCCTCTGATTAAATGAGTATCAGGGTCAAATGGAGTGACTATAAGTGACCTGACCCTAATGTAAGATTGAATCCTTATTGAGGTCTGTAAAAGATTACCATTAACTGTACTTGGAACTGAATTGTGTCCTTAATGATTTAAATTCACAGTCACCATGGATATAGATGATGTCAAAATACAGTGCAATATATAAATGTTATAGGGAGCATTTCAAAATTCTTTGCATTTTCTTCATTTATAAATAAAGCTACTTCTTGATGGTCAGTATTGACATCCTATGTTTCAAGGAAATCCTGTGTGATGTACGATAAGGTATCATTTATATAGTAAAGTACTTTAAACTCTATACAAATTCTGTTTTGTCAGGAAGGTTGAATACACATCTAAATATATTCATCTATGAATCTATGTCTGTTTTACAAATCACAGTAACTGCTGTAAAAAGATTGAATGTGTATCAAGAATGAGTTTTTTATTTGCTGTTTGCATATTCAGGAAGCATAGAAGAATCCAGTGAAGTAATTTTATTATTCTTTGAAGCATTATGGAACACATGAGAATTAATGAAGGACCAAGAGACTGGTAGTGGTTTTCATCTTTTAACTTTTAATCTTAGATTACATTTTTACTCTCATTCTTCAAGCTTTAAATCTCAGTTATAAATGATCATATCCATGCTAATAAGGCTTCTTCTAGGACTGGCATTGAATCTTGGACATTCTTTTGTCATTGTCAAGTTTAGAACTAAAAAAGTGCTTGTTTCCTTGTCTCTGACAGGTGATGTTGTCTTAGTTACTGCTCTGGTCAGCAGTTTTAGAATCATAAAAAGTCAACCTGTGAGAAAATAAGGTAGTTTTAAAAGGTCCTTATTAGTAGACACACTTTGTTTAAAAAAAATCTCATGGAAGTAATTCTTGCAGAGAAGAACAAAGTAGTGGTCCCTGTTCAGCTACAGAAATGGGGTTGGTACTACTGACCAAGAATAGAGAAAAAAAAATCTTAAATTTAGAGGGAAAAGTCCAATTTAAGGACTAAGACCTCAAAACAGCATAATTATGCACACTAGCAAAAAAAAAAAAAAAGCAAAAGGCGTCTTGGTGATTATGTTCTAATGGGGATGGCAGCTTTGTCTAGTTTGCGGGGGGAAGGGAGGTAGCTATTTTCACTTGGAACAATTCTAACTAAATAATATTTTTAGCAACTCCAGTACATGCAGACTTTTTAATGTGGTTGCAGTTAAGATTGTAGGCTTCTGTAACTTTTAGGCAATGCAATTTTAATTTTAATCCTGGTGATATTGAAGGAAGGCATGGCTGTATTTCTTTTCTTTGCAACCCCATCAGCAGTATTTCCTAGAGTGCAAGACACATTGGGATGTTATTGCAGCTAAAGGTCTTGAGATGCTTGAATGTTGAATGTTAGAATGGTATAGGTGTGTCTGTGTGTGTTTGCAAAAACTCACAATTTAGTAGTCATTACCCTAACTTATGCTACTTAAGAAGCGTTTTTTTTATTTCTTTGTTTTAATGGATAATTTTATAAAAGGACCAAATAATATGAAGATGTTTTGGCTCAGTGACTAAAGCAGTGAAATTCTAAGCCATGGTAAGGACAATGCTGTGTTCTCAATATGTCATCCTGTGCCGAGCTCTAAGAGGTTTGCATCAGTGGGTTTTTTATTTGCATCATGTTTGAGTGGAACTGTGCAAATCATTCAGAGGGGTTTGGATTCTGCATTGACTTTCTTTTTCAACTGTGTCTGTAACAACTTTGTTATGTAGGTGTATGGTTTTAAAATTATTCTTCTGTATAAAGCGATCTTTACTCAGTCCGCCCTCTGTCATTACAACTATCACATGTCACAGGAATTCTTGCATGAATAGGATTTGAGGGTGGGTCTCTACGCTCTTGTATAATGGTGAAGGAAATGTATAATGGGATCGAGGAAATTAATACAGCCTGAAGATCTGTAGTGTTTTTTCTACACTCCTTTTTAGCTGCAGTAGATAATATTAGGGATAATCTTAGGAAATCTAGCAAGTGAATAAGAAAAAACATGTTATGTACTATTGAAATTTATGAGCCAGCAAGATAAATGTGCAATGATTGTAGTATAGAAAAAATATTTGAGATCTAATTCATTCAAAACAGGTCTTTCTCCCTGTATCTGCTTCTATTTGGCTCTTCACAGCATGATTTCTTTTTCATAGCCTCGACAATGTGGTTTCATGTTTCAGAAGTCCTGTAATGACAGTAAGGTTTGTGATAATCAGCAGCCTATTTACATGTAAAGAGCATCTGTAAACATCACTGAACGAGTGGGGTTGTATGTGTTACCAGTGGCATATGTTTACGGCAGTAGGCCTTATGCAGTGACCTTTAGAAAAGTGAAAGTGCAACCAACATTAAGTATTGCTGTATCTTAGCTCATGTTAGAAAAAGCTGTGTAAGCTTTGTACATAGCTTGAATGCAGGGTGAAGTGCATGGGGGTGTGTGCTGCTGTTTTGTGGGGAATAGCTACGTTAAACACTACTGGCACTGAACGGGGATTACTTGCATAAAGTTCATGTGTATAATATATGTTCAAGTGTTTAATGTAGTCACATCATAGAGGAATGAAGTGTTTTGATGTCCAGTGTTTCCTTTTAACATATAAGAATCAGAATTTCATACAGAGAATCAGTGTGTTGTCAAATAATACATTTGACTTGCAAATATCGTCTTATATTTAACCAACTTAAGATCCTAAAAAAAATGAATAGCTAGTGAAAACCATTCTGTATATATGTACTTGGTCATTGAAATGTCATTGCAGTGAGAGTATGGTTTGAGTAATGGTAAAAGGTCAAACCATTTCAGTTAAAACCTCTTTTCAGATCCACCAGTATAAAACTTGAGTGGTGAAAGAATAAGTCATTCCAATTTTAGATTTTAGTCTTTTAGCATTGTTTGTTTTGTCTTCATATTTCTGGTTTTATTTTGAAATTATTAGGTGGCACTGCATATTTTGAGGCAGCTTGTGGAATCTTTACTCACGCTGGAGAGTATTTTTTCTCAGCATTGCTAACTCTTGCAAATGAGTTTAAGCCTCATAATTTTTATGGTTTCCTTAAAGACCAATTTTCAGTACTCCAGTGGTTATTGAGTATTACAGATTTCAGTGAATAGAAAATAAATTTGTAACACTCATCATTACAGAAGAGACTTCAGAATCTAAAACAAGCCTACGTGGTTTAGGAGTGAGAGTGATACTTAAAGCAATTTTAAGATTTTTATGTCATTCATAAATTTGGATATGACAATACTGCTCGAGCGGAATACTTAAGAGTCCACAATCTGGATCTCAATAACTTCATTGTTCCTGTTAATTTTAAAGAAAAAGTCATAGGCTTTCTTATTTGTCATGGTTTATCATCTTAATTTTCTACATTACTTTTACATATGCTGGAGTACTGCCTACTGTACATGCCATTGTCACATGTAACACATTTCTTTATCTAACTTTAAATTTGCTGATTTCTTTTTCTGTTTCCATCATTCCGTGCATTTAATTCATTGAAGAGCAAGAGACTTTTAACTCTTCCACAAAAGGTAAATATTTATGTGATTTTCTACAAATGTTTGGCAACTGTTAATACTGGCTTTTTCCTCAATATGTTCCATGTCAGTATATAGTATTTAGTTAACAGTGTTTAATAGGTGAGAAGGTTGTTTCTCAAATATCAATATGCTATCTGATGCCCCTTTTTAGAATTTGAAAATGGTTTCTCTTGTGATTTCTAATTTTCCTATTGAAATTCAATATATTGGATTTAACAGGAGTAGTCATGGTATTTTACATGGCTCAGAAGCTGCTTAATTGAGTTAAAGTTCACTCAAAGACTAAGATTTTACCTAAGCTCTTCTTGAGCTCTGCACAACATCTGTTTCTAATGATACAGCCATGGTTCTTGGCATCTGTGAAGGATGTTTCATAGGTCTAGGCTTAGGAATAGTTGAAGATGATGATGGCCAGAAACTATCCTTCGTATGCAGAGAGATTCTGAAAAATGAGATGTGTTTTATTTGCATAACAAGCCCCTAACACTCAGAAAGTTAGTCATGTTGTAGGGCAGACATACAGCACTCACCTCCTAGGAATTTGACCTCCTATGAATTCTCCATGTCTGCCCTGATACCAGTGAGCTCAAACAACAGGTATCTAAGGCTGTCCCACAAAGTGAAAAGTGTAGTCTGTCATGTCCCTATTGAGAAAACATTGCAGAGAATTCCTTTGCTTTGTTTTTTTTTTCTTTTTGCTGAAACTAGGAGTTATTTCAAAATCAGAATGAAGCTTAGAGAGAAAAAAAAACAAACAAAAAAATTAATCCTATTTAATGTTAACAGCAAAATACAATGCTGCATAAACATTAATAGCACAGATTAACCTGTTCTGACCTTTAGTCCCCAGTCCTGCAGATCTTGGGAAATTCTGGTCTGAATACAGGCTTTGGCAGGTCAAAGCCAAATTGTGAGTTGAACTTGAATTAGAATATCTCCTACACTTCTTTACTTTCTGACAGGGTGAATCCCACTGAAACATTCATACTTGCTTAGGTAAAAATACAGCAGCTGCTTCACTAGCTATGAACTCCAACACCCACGCCAATACTCAGGAGTGTGTTTTCATGATAATGTTAAAAAAAAAAAAAGGTGAAAAAGAAATAATATTTAGCTTAGGTATTAGAAATTAGAGGTTATTTTGCAGTGTTAAGAAGGTACTATGAAATGTCTTAAGAAAGCGCTAAGAATGGTTGATTTTACAAATTCTTGCTGTCATTTTTTCTTTCTTCAGTTTTTATATTTCTCTCAAACAGAACAATACAAATGAATCATGGCAATTTGTTGTTTATGCCTCTTTCAAGTTCACAAACCTTGCCCTGTGATTTGGACTGCAGTGGATGTTTGTTTAAAACAATTGACTTTATGCAGGTGAACTAGACCATGCCTGTAACAGGTTGGTAAAAGAGCTTGTTTCCACATGATTTGGCTGGATCTGGCCCAAGATTTGGGAGGGCATGCAGAATAAGAGATAAAAAGAATAGACAGTAGGTGAATGGGAGGTGGGGATGTGGCGGGGGGTAGAGTACAGGATATTGTGTAACAATAGACACAGGTGTGAAGAAAAGCATATACTACAGTTATGAACAACACTGACCAGATAAATCTACAACAAAGAAATCAAGCATCTGTTCCACTTAATCAATGGGAAGGGTTGTGGTAGGGTCTTCAGCAGGTTATTAAAATGTTGACGCAGACAGCTGCCAAAACCAATGGTTTACTTTTTTTTCAAATTTTAGGAAGTGTGTGCTTGTTTCTTGTTGTTTTCTGTTAAATAGAAGCTTCTATTTAGATCATCCTTGAAACTCTTTGAGGAAGAACTGAGTATTGCATCAGCCAGTTCAGATTTTTATATTGGCTTAGCTTCCTTCTGGAATGAGTTATTAATAACTCAAGGTGGTCACCATGCTTCTGTGTGTACTGGGGGATCCAAGCTCATTTCCCAGCTTGGCAGTCTGAGTATGTGCTTTTGTCATGCCTCAATTCTGATTTGAGAGGAGGCCCAGAGTGGTATCAGCTCCCATGGAAAGGAAACCCATGCACAGAAGCTTAAAGGAACTACAGCACATTTTAGTTCGGTACAGGGACCAGGGCTGCAAAGCAGGCTTCAGAGCCCATCTCCCTCACTATCTGCATGTTGCCAATAAGCACTTTTTGAAATCATATATGCAGAGAAGTGGCAACAAGTTCTTCAAAAAATATTGTGTGTTTTTAACTTTCACAGTAGAGTTTGCTGTGGATTTTCAAAGTCATGAATCCTACCACAGGATGTGGTAGGATTGTGCGTGCATGTTGCAAAAGTCATCCTGAAGGCTGAACAGAAATAACCTGGAGATTCTCTGTATTATTTCTGAAATGCTTCACCCTGGTCCAACACCACTGTGAGCTCTCCTCCCTATGCGGCAAAGCCAGCTCTCCAGTGAATGCTCCCCTACCCTCTCATTTCCCTTACCCACTGCACCAGAGGTATTCTCCCATCCAAATATCATCGCTGCTTTCTTCCTCTGCCTTTGTGCTGGACATTGGTTCTGCATAGTTTCTTCTCCAGCTTCCACCTCTCACTTCCTCAAACCACATACTGGGTTTTTTTCCCCCCACCGATTCCAATTCAGAGAGCATCTAAGCAGCACAGAGAGATGAAGCTCCTGGCTTTTTCAGTGTAGAAAGGCTAAGTGTACATACCTCTAGACTGCATTGTAGCTGTAGCTCTTTGTCATCGTTCAACTTTTCTTATAAGTGTGAAGTCTGAGTGTGAAGAATAGGTTAGATCTCTGTTGGCTTCTGGGATAAGTCCCTGTTGCCTGGCCAGAACCTGCTGTTTGTGCCCCAGAAACATTGTTACTATAAAATAGTTTTTATGAGATAAACTTTCATTTCAACTCTAATTTTTCGGTAGCTTCCTTGTGTAAGCAAATCTATAATTTTAGACTTCTAGACTTTTTCCCTTACTGTTTGCATCCTAAAGGGTGTGTGATACTTGCTGGTAAGGGTTTACAGCCATCTGAAATTTTTATGCTGACTTCTTGTCCTGTAGCTTACTCCAGCAATTAGTAGCACAGGTAAGATTTGAAGGATTTCCAAGTTGTACTCTTTGCCTACACCTCCTTTCTGCCTTGACCATCTTGAACAGAAATGTGAACTGTCTGAAGAGCAAATGCTGTGTTTGTTGCAGACATCACAGAAGATGGTAGAGCCAGTGCTAAGGCATCCATAAGTTTTCTGTAGTCTAGAAAAAAACAATATGGTTGTCAGTTTTAATCACAGAGCAGGTAATGGCACCAATTGTTCTTGGCATTAAACTCATACTAAGGTTTGAGCAAGAATGTCCTTTTAGAAAGTTATTTTCACTGAATGACTGCAAGTGATGGAGAATTGTTCCTGTGTTTAACCACCTGACTTTTAAACATATATCTTAGTGCTTACATATTTATCTGACTTTATCTAACTTCTTCATAGCTACTGGGCATTATTATACCTGTATCCGCTATTCTACTGTTAGAAATCTTCCCACAATCAAAACATATTTGCCTTCTTTTTAATCATTTCTTAAATCTGTTTCTGCAAGACAGTGTCCTGGACTATGTGTAATTCTTATGACTTCTCCCTAAATCTTTTTTACCAACAGTATGCTTTGAGTGATAGTCTTCCCTAGACAAATTGAGTATCTTCCAGTTTCCACGGGGTTTTTTCAATGTCCTAAACCTCCCTATCTCTGTAAGGCATTTCAGCATTTGTTGATATTTTTGTGAGCATAAAGGCTTATTTTCATGTACCTTGCCAAAATTTCCCTTCTCCTTCCTTTCTTTATTATTTGCTAGGTAGCAACAAGTCTCCACTTCAGAGAGAGTGATGTTTTTTTCTGGAGAGATATGTAGCTTGTATAGCAGTTCAGGTTTGGATGGAAGGTGATTTTTCTTGCAATTTGCTGATGGTCGAGAATCCAAGATGGTCACATTGCTACACTGGAGGTCGTTTCAGTGCTAAAACAATTCTAGTCTTTTTTTCCAAATGTATGAGTGGGTTCTCTTTAGATGTTATTTATTGTCAAGATTCAAAGCTTTCCAAAGTCTACAGAATGTAGAGTCTCTTTGATGATTGTTGTAACGTGAAAGAGGTGGATATCTAAACAGGTATGCTCAGGAGTTAAAACTAGAGCTAGAAAGGCAGCTACAGCATTTTTGCTGTTCCTTGCTAGTTCAGTATTGCCGCATGTGGTACAATCCTTATTTAAATGAGCCCACAGACATTTCATACATTATACTATGAGGTTAATTGATAGGTGTTTATACCATCACGCCATATATAGTTTAGTCCCTCTTTCAAACCTTAAATAGGGGACTTCAAACCTCAAAGTTACTTCATTTTCTTTTGCACTGGTCACTACTGTTAGTGCAGCTTTTGTAGCTCTCATTGATTTTCATGGGATTAGTCTGTTGTTGATACCAGTGCAGGTTGAATTTATTTTAAAGTCAGATTGCATGAATTGCTACCTTTACATTCTGGATTCTAGCCGGTCTAACCTGTCTCTCAGTTAACCAGTAGATAAGGGTTGAAATGTGCCCATACTGGTTCTCTGAGGATAGAAATAAAGATGAGGACTGTCAACTAGTTAATGACATCAGATATAATTCTACAAACCTTACCATAGCGCTGACATATTAAAAGGAATATATAAATTCTTAGTAAAGAGATAATATCAGAAAAATTAAGAAATGGCCATCTCCTTTAAGAAAAAACAACTGTTGACCTGTCATATTTTTTTCTGAGGGTAGGTTGCAGGCTGAAAATGAGCGCGCTGTAGCTATTTTCTTTAATTTATTCCCTACCTCCTTTAAGTAGCATATTACAGATTTGCATATTTTAAACAATCAAAGGAGAGCATGTATTTTATAGGCTGTCAATAAAATAAAATCACATTCCTTATGATGGAAACATTTGCCAAGAACTGCCTTTAAATTAATCAAAACTTCTTTTATCACAAGAAATACAAGAGAGTTTTTTACTTACTGTATGAGTAAAAACCCAACTATTCCATTATGTGCATGCATTAAATTGTTCTTATACTACTACCATGATCACCTCTGCAAAGGTGATTTAGAATCCTGTGAAATCTATTCCAAATTACAGTACAGACTGCACAGTCTTCACGAGGATGTTTCTTGAATTACATACGAGAAAGAGACCCCAGAAGGAGCTGACAGACCTGCTAGCTTATGGGATAGGAAATGGTCTTAATCTTTGTAGACTGTGTCTTCTTCCTTTGAATATCGTTCACAGTGGAAGCCAGCTGGGACTCAGCAGTCAGTTGAGTAATAAACTGAGTAACAGCTGAGGGAACTTTTGTTTGTTTGACGGAAGACCACATTGGGCAGTTAATTCTTGATAGCTTGGTATGGTGAGTTGACCCAAGCCAGCAATTAAGCACCCACCATCCATTCACTCACTCCACCCTCCACAGTGAGATGGGGCAGAGAATTGGAAAAGCAAAAGAGAGTAAATTTCATGGGCCAAGATAAAAATAATTTAGTAAGTGAAAAAGAAAAAATAAACAAACCTCAACCAACAAATCCACCACAAATTTTTACAAAAACAATCACTCCACCTCCCACCAGCAGACCAATGCCCAGCCGGTCTCTGAGTAGCAGCTACCTCGGGAAAACTCCCCTCAATTTTATTGATGAGGATGATGCTATATGGTACGGAACATCCCCTTAGTCATTTGAGGTCATCTTTCCCTGCTGTTGCCTCTCCCAGTCTCTAGCCTTCTTTCTGGGGCGCATGAAAAACAGAGAAGGCCTTGGTGCTGTGCAGGCACTGCTCAGCAATCGCTAAAACAACGTTCTGTTATCAGCACTGTTTTAGTCACAAGGCTGCTGTGAAGAAAATTACCTCCATTCCAGCCAGACCCAGTACACCTGGGATTACAGGAGTCAGACTACATAATAAATGTATTAACAGAGTTGAAGTATAATATTTTGATTCCATTTGTATGTCTGTCTTCTCTCTCCTGCATGGCTTGACTGTTTACGTACATCATTGTTGTGCAACCTTCACATGGTTTACATAAGAAAACCCATTGTAGTAAAAGCTTTAGCTCTAAACTTGCACTTATCTAAGCAGTCTGCTTCATGAGTTCTCTTCTTTCAATTACTTCTTTTACCAATTGGTCTCACATCTGAATCAGCAGCTCTTGAACAGATGAGAGTGATTGCTCTTTCAAGTGTGACTTGTGACACCAAAGAGAGTAAATATGTTGGCACAACTGATATTGATGGTAGTTCTACCACTCATTTCACACACTTGTGGTGAATCGCCATATTTTGAATTCTAGGGCCTCTGTAGAATTTAGAGGTCTTGGGATTACAGTGCTTCAATATGTAAATGACTGTGTAGTCCTACCTCTCAAGAGCTCCAGGAAAAGCACTCTGTAAATACTGATGTCCTAAAAGAAAGTAGAAACATATTTTTCTAAGAGACAGGTTCAGTTCTTGAAGTATTGTTTATGTCAAATTTTCGTTACCTGTGGTAACCAGCTGTGTTCCAAGAAAGTAATGTGATCGTATGGTGGTGTTACCTATGGTTGTTACAGCTTCTGCTAATGTGCTTTTGCTCCTGTGTTAGATTTTTTTTCTGCTTCTTGTGATTAACATGTAAAGAGTATACCAGGCTACTGATCAGGCAGACAAAATTTTCCATCACAGAATTGAGCTAGATATAGCATACGTTTAGATGTGCACGGTAAACAAACCTGAAAGGAACACGGTTGTATTTTTTAGAGCAGACTTACATTTCACACAGTTGCTTGTATAGAAATACATTACCAGCTAATAGCTGAGCTAAATACATTTCACTCCATGCACAAAAATTTTCTCCATTAGGGAATTTAGATTTACTTCATGGTTTTCATTAATTGTTCTCATGTTATTTCATACAATGGTATCTAATGATGCAAAACAGAAGATAAGCATGGGGTTAAGGTTAAGGATTTGAACATAACAAAAATCAAGTATTACTGAGTTAAGGTTGAATTTACCCAACCTGACTGCAGTAGTTTTCACATATAGTCACTGGAATAGCATCTCATTAAATAATAGAATATTCTTTCTCAGGTATCATAAGTACTACAGAGTAACATTCTTTCATATTTAGTATAATGGACAGTTGACAGGGTGAAACACCTAAACATCACACAATGAAAGAGTTCTCTTTTTAGAGTAACTGTAATCTGTGCACCATACACATATAGGGCTAAATTTTTAAAGGGGTCTCAATTTTCCCTCTGATTTTATATCCTCAGTCTATTTCATGCATGTATGATAGGATTAAGATATCTGAGTTTTTGACTGGAGTCACTAATTGATGTATCTTAATCCTTTCATATCTGTCCATAAAATAAGAGGCCGTCTTTAAAAATTTCACCTAAAGTGCTCAATTTTGCCTTCAGATACCTCCATGCAACTTCCATTGAAGTAATTGGAGCTGTGCCTGCATATCTGATGGTGGAACTGGACTCATTGCAATTAAGGTACACATTTACCGGCATAATTAGTCATCTGGAATAATCACTGGGCCCAGTGTGACATTCTGCATGTGCAGAATTTACTAGATTGGACCCTCTGCGTGTGGGAGATTGAAGATTAAGATGATAACTTTATTTCTTGCCTTAAATTTGTAGCTATAGCAGAACTGTAATGTCACTTGCTGTATTTAATTTTCCTATTTTAAATAAGAAATGTGGAAGGAGGACATGAGAACAACATATTTTTCACAGTAATGCCTTTGTATATTTTTTCATACCCAACACAGGCATTCCATGATTTCTATGAACACGTTACAGCTGGTACGTGTATGCACAGTTGTGATTTGTGCAATAGCACGAGTTTGAAATACCCAACCCTGAGCGTGCTGCGTTCTTTTTGTGCCTTTGTGCTTGCAAAGCACAGACAAAAAGTAGATGTGTAAAGAATCCTACAGTTAACTAGCAGCATAAACCCCAAATACGATAACATTGGTACCTCTTAATTCACAGTACAGATCTGTAAACAACAGGATAGAGTACTTATTTTCCCCTAATTTAAAATTCTCTGTGGTTTGTGATTGATTTCATGCAGCTTTTAAATTGGTGTCTCTCTCCTGTGACTGGTCTGGGGAGGGGCTGTTTACAAAAATCTTGACTTTTAAAACTAATTGTTTTGGAGATAGTCATATAAACATGTTTGACCCAAAAGCAGAAGATTTTGCAGAGGTTTTCCCCCAAAAAATGCCAGTCTTGAATTTGTGGCCACACAAAAAATTCCAACTAAAGGAATTTGTTCTGGGATGTTATAACCTGTTAAAACACAGTGAATATAGCGAGTACTCTGGGGATGCAGAGTAGTGACTGATGAATATTTGGGTCTAGTTCTAGAACTGTTAAAAAGTACCATTTTTCAAGGTATTTGGTTCATTGGTATTCCTTTGCATTTATAGTGCTAGCAAGTTTAAGAATGGCAGAATATATAGTTCCCTCTGAAAATTTTCCACTACCACAAAGGTTAACTTCTTTTAAGGAAGCCTTAGCACAGGGGCTTTCATGCCACTCCTTCTGTTAGTGCGAGGTCATCCTCCTGTGGCAAGCACAGCCAATACTAACTGCCATAACTTGTTCAAAGCGAAGATGCTGCTCTTTATAGCACCACAACTTCTTGAAGGTTTAAGATGAGATTTCCTTTTTTAAACTATTTTGGTCATAGGAAAATTGAAAACACAAGAACAAATAATTTATTTGAAATAAAGTGAGCATTAGAGAGCCAAGCAGTGCTTTTAAAGGACTTTTCTAGGAAAAAAATTACTAGAAAATTTCTGTATTTTTTACTATGACTGGTTGAATGGAGAATTTATCCCTCTCAAATAATCCTAAGCTATGGTAAGCAGTTATGTTTTAAGATAGTAGTAGGAGTTAATTACTTCAAAAATAAATTTCAATACCTGTTCAATGCATTAATTCTTAGAATGCTACTGTAATATTTTCTACATTTAAGCAAATAACATGGTTAGATGATCATGGATTTATGTCCCCTGCATCCAGAATACTTAACAGGTTTATAATTCAGCCTATCACCTAAATTCTTTCACTCTTTTCATATCTGTTGCACCAGCTTGATTATGTATAGGAAATTGGGATGTCTGCCCATTTGCAGGTAAAGACTCTCGCAATGGAAGTGGTTGGTTTCTTGACATTAGTGTTCCTTTGTTCTGTGTTTACACCCTTGCTTGTTCTACATGTTTGTACATATCTTTGTTTCGTTGAGATGGAAGTAAGTTAAAATTTTTGCTAAACCGTTTGTTTTTCCAAAAGGTTTTCACCGGTTTTAATTCATTTTCATTGTGTGTTTTTGCAGCAAGCTTAGTAGTGGAGGAGCGAACGAGACAGATGAAAATGAAAATGCACCGTTATAATCAGACATCAGGGTCTGGTTCTAGCCAAGAACATGAGCGTGAGCAATATACCAAGGTAAAGTCAGTAGTACTGAAATGATACTTTGGCTTGAAAATTAAAGGCATAAACCTGTTTATTTAAAATATTATATAACCCTCAAGAACACTGTGTTACAAAGCCTGGCAGAAGTGTCTTCAAGTTATAGCTTTTTAACATCTTTTTTACCCCCATCTGATCTGCCTTGGACTTAGTCTTTCATGTTTCTAAAACAAATCTGCAAAAAGCAGAACACTTCAAAACTAATTCAGGGAAGAAAGATCCTTCAACAGTTGTGAAACAAAGCCATGCCACCCCTAGCTTAGGAAGTCCCTGGCCTGCAAATCCCTGGAGGCTAGAAAAGTGGGCCATGGAAGTATGTTGGCCCTACTCTCTTGTTCTTCTCTAGGCCCTTGCTGTTGCCTGACGTATAGAGAGCTGGGAAGAATTAAATCCAATCCCATGCTGCTATTCTCATATTTATATAATTTTTTTGCATCCTAATAATGTCACAGATAAAGTATTTCCTTTCTTGAAATACATACTGATTACTTTGTTCTCCTTTTCTAATGAAAGTGTAAAGATTTCCTCTGACAATTAAGTGTACATGAAATGACATTAATGAAGTTATACAGAGGGACTTTTTTTTCTTGATAATGCTAAAATGATATCCCATAACCTTGTAAGTTTACAACTGTATAGGCTTGTGAGCAAACTGCTGAAAACATCTCGCACATCTCCACTGCCACTTACAAATCAAGCTGTGAGGGGCTGCAGCTGAACTTTCTGCTAAAGGTGTTTTGCTTTATGGGACATAACGGAGAAGGAACATTTGCAGAAATCGAAAGGGGTAAAGTTTAGTTAGATTCTGTGTTTCCTTTTAGAGACACAGCACTGTGTTGGTGTAAGCAAGGTAAAGAACAGGGACAAAACCAGTGGCAAGTCAAATGAGTGACCACAGGATGGCAGTATGAATGTAAAAGTCCACCGTAAAAAATTCAGACACACAAAGCAACTGTATGCGTTAAAAATAAGGTCTCAGGATAACAGTAGTTTGAAGAAAATCACACCTTTTATTAATTTAGACTTTCATGCTTCAAGAGCCACATTTCAAAGACTTTCTTCACATCAGTAAGAGCTAAACACTTGTATTTTTATTTCTACGTGTTAAATTTGTGAGCCGGTGCCATGCAGAAAACAATAAACATTGTCAAGCTCTCAATAGCCGCGGACATCAGAACGTTCCTGGCATTTACTGCCATAGACCAGACTTTCCGTCCCTGCTCCTCCAAGGTCACTCTGCTGTGTTTTGCAGAATTGATGCATGTTCCTGGAGGCACAGGTGAAAATAACACAAGTGAGGTACTCAGCAGAAACAAAATCAGAAATTTACTTAGAATGGGTAAAAAGGCAATTGGGCAACTAATTTGTGGTATCTAAAGATTTGAAAGATTTGTTCAAGATCTTATTACAGTTAAATATGGAGACAACTTTAATAAGGATGTTTCTTTTTTGAGACCACCCCGCTGTGAACACAGAACTTAAATGAAATAGTTCTCAAAGGCAAGAGAAATAAGAGAAGCAGGGTTTTAGGTCCTCAGTTGCCAAATTGTCAGATATCAGTGCTATTAAAAAAAAAAAAAAAAAAGGATGGAAATTTTCCAATGAGATCATCTGTCAGGAGCCAGAATTTGAATAATAATTAGAACAGCTCATTTGATGTTGGATTTGCTGTTACCTTCACAAGAGGTCTACTCAGGACAAGAGGGTGAGATGCAGTGTGTCTCTGTGATACTTCCTAACCAGTTATGTGTTAAAAAAGTAGTAAAAATACATTTGATAAAGTTTGCAGGAGAGAAGGGTAATGTGCAATCTGGCCAGGATGACCAAACGTAGACCTTTGTTCATAGTCAAAGGCCAGTTTTCTGATTTGGACTACCTGTGCTTGCAGATTGATTCAAATGTTTGCATTATGTCATTATGAAACCTATTTTTTGTCCTGAGTGTCTTTAATACTTATCATAAGCATCATTTTTGCTCCTCAATATGTTTTTGTGCTAATGTAAATCCCATGTATGGTGAAATAGTTGTTGGAAAACATTGATCTGCAATGTTACCAATTTCCCTTATCCTCTAGTACCTCGAGCTTTCTAGTATTATCTTTAGTTTGGAAATATATGTGGAAATTAAGTCTAAATTGAAATCACGGCATGATGAGTACTAGATGGAAAGAACTCTGTTGAAGTATTTTTTTATTCGGAATTTTTAAAAAAGATATGAGCACAACTTTAAGGAATCAAATTCTCTGTCCATTGTTCAAGAAAAATATTTTTGGGGTACCTGGTGCTCTGAATTATGTTGGCTCCTTTCCATGCTAAAGCAGTAGCAAGGTGATTTAGTGACTTGTACTGGACTTTAAATCAAAAAATCTTTAACTTTTCATGTGTTTTCTACATGATAATGGTGTAGTCCTAGGTAGGATGGTCCAACCTATAGTCAATTTTTAAGTTCTGAGAACAAATTATATTAGGACATTCTAACACTCTGTACTATATTCAGTGATGTAGCAGTTTTCTTCATATCACTGTGGTGATAGTCATCACTTCAAAAATGTTTTACTAAAGCAAACCTTGTGCTACTGTTTTTCTTTACTCTCAGAAGATGCTGAAAGAGTCAATAAAACTAACCAGACAGATGAAGATTTAGACAGTTCTAATGAAAATGTAGTAAGCCATATCAGGAGGTGCAGTGAGGCTGACGACTGAGACTTCTAAGGACTTCAGACTATACCTAATGTCTGCTGCCAAAATGTGTGAAAAGTCTTTGAAAGCTGCAGGAGCAAGACTTACTTTGCATAAAAAAGAAAAAATGTTCAATGGTCTAATAGACATTTTGGAATAGTGAGAAAGAAATATTAAATAGCTATTAAAGAAAGGGGAGTTAGAAGCAGAGTTTGTCCCTCTTCAACAGCAATGCTTTCTTTCCCAGTTAGCAGTGTTTGCCCACTGCTTCAGAAAATAAGTGTTTATATTTATTAGAGAAATTATTCTGTGCTGCACATTGAGAAAATATTCCCTTCTGCTTTTCAGAGCAATCAGCTCACATGGCTTTGATTCTGCCACTATTTTAACATTTACAAATATGCTTGGTTTATTACACATAAAATTCTCTAAACCTTTCAAAAACTTTCCTTCAGTATGGACTGGATCTCCTTTTCTATAGTGTATGCAAAATTAATTCCTTAAATTTAAATATGTTTTCTCTTATATTGAAACAAGCCTTTTTTTTCGGAGGTGTCATAACAAGGCCTTTGCAATTTCCAATCCATTTCTGGTGTGTGTCTTCATTTTGTGTAATTTCTCCCACTCAGTTTCTCAATCTTCTAGTCTCAGTAAGCAAGCACAAGTTTTTCAAGCATGCACCATGCAAGTTACGTGTAAATATTTTTGAGCATCTGAGTTTTAAACATCCATTAATGGATCTTGAATAGGTAACTGCTCTACATTTCCTTAGGTCTTGATAGCTGTTCCACTCTAATTGTTTTGAGAACCTCACTGAGCTCACATCCTTATTTCCTTCAGTTCCAACTGAGAGACTCCATAATTTATGTGAAACAGTTAAATTCTAAAAAGCTAAATTTAAAAAAAAAAAACCCTCTGTGGGTTTGGCAAAAGAGTTTAAAGAAGAGGTTTAAACTTCCATCTGCCTTCTTTCTTGTATGTTGGTAAGGCTGTCGTGGCTAATATGCACATATTTGTGCTGTTTCAGTGTTCGAGAGAATCAAAACACTTTGGTAGCATAATTCTGGATTTGCATAGATATAAATGATAGTATATCTTAATTAGGCTCTTAATTCAAAATACGCTAAGTTTTTTATTCCAGATGCCACACACAGAACACAAACGCCATGCTGCAGCTGCTCCAGCTTTCCAGAGAATGTGCAACACATTTTTTTTTTTTTTTGGAAGGTCTGTTTATTCAGGAGAGTTACTGATCAGAGGACTGTAGTATGGACTTAAAAGGACGTTGCTCTATATTTAGATGCACTACTGACTCAGTTAACACTGTATGTGGTTGGAAAGCATTTAGCATAGAAGTGTAATCATGGCGTTAGTTCAGTGGCACTCTGTGGATTTGACTTGATAGTTAATGTTTACAAGGAAGGGCTGGATAGGAGACTTGGGATGATAGGGGACTGATTATGTTAAGTTTTATGTGATGCTGGGCAAGGCATTTAGAGCTATGTACAGAAAATGCTCTTGGACATTGATGTGATGAGTATCTTCTTGTGATCCCCCTTCATCCACCTTCAAGAAAAAAATATTTACTATGTATCATTTTAATATGACAGTCACTCTGGTACTGATAGGGTTTGACAGAATTCAATGAGGTCCATTCATTCGACTCATGGGCTTCACTGCAGTTTTCCCATGGTCTGACTTGTTCATTTTTACTGTTCCCTGTGAGGAAGTTGAGTGGTGTTCACGTTAGTTCAGTTGGATACGATTATGGGATACAATAGTTACTTAGGATTGCTGCTGCTTACCAGCCTCTGGACCGTCACGTGAGCTGCTCCTAAGACACAGACCCAGGTGCTGGTAGGAATCAGAGATGGGGCCTGGACACATGAAGGTGCTGGCTGCCAGGCCATGAACCCCAGCAGCATTTGGAGGAACCATGTGTGAGCAGTCATAAAACTCGAGGTGCTTTGTGCACGATTCAACACTTCCTGACAAAGTCCTTGTGCCTCAAAAAATAGCTGTGATCTCAAGACTTGCATAAGCCCCTGGATTAACCTAGCCCTTAATGGTTTTGGTCTGGATTTCTATTTTCTCATTTTAATTTCCTCATTTTAATCCCTATTTAATTTTCTCATTTAATTTCCTCATTTTAAGCACTTAATGAGGCACATATTTCCAGAGGTTAGTCACCTGAGGCTTTTTTGGTAGTCAAAGGAGGGGACACTCCTTCAGTTTTCAAAGCTCTGAACTATTGTATTCTCCATGATTTTGGGAGATAAATCTAGAAATATAAATACTTATTAATATGGAAGATATTATAATTATAATGGACTATTAAAGAACTTCTAAAATGTGCCTTATAATTAGAAGAATTGCTGGCATTGTTAGTCATTGAGGAACTGTAAAAGTATTAATAACCTACACTCTTGTGGTTTATGTCTATGCTCTTTCCACTGACATTAACACATCTGCAGTTCATCATACCCCTTTTTTCTCCTTTTGCTGGTATAGAAGAAGCAGCGACTCCACAGGTGGTAAAGTGAATGGAAGAACTGCATTTCAGCTGTTTATATTTCAGATAGTTACATTGCAAAAATGTCTGTCTTTGCAATGCAGAAGCAGGCAGTGCAGATAATTTGGGCATTTGAAGCTAGCTGCTACAAATGTTTGAAAAACCAGGCCTAGTCTTCAGTAATTGCTATCAGACTTGTTGCAAACTTCAGCAACTCTCCTAATGTGATAAATAGTGCACCTTGGAATAGAAATGTTGCGGAAGCTTTAACTCTGTAAGACATAGAGTTGAAAGAGAAGTGATTCACTTTATTTTGAAGCTTCAAAATTACTTTAGTATTATATTTAAATATAACACAACAGGAAAATTTATTAGAAATACATGCAGAGTTATGAAGAACAGTAGTTTTCTAGATGAGCAGGACTGTATCATAGTACTTTTGAGCCCAGTTGGAAACCTGCAGGAATTAGCTTAATGCAGATACCAAATAAGTGGATCTCAGCCCAAGACGTTTTTCTTCTGAATATGTTCAGGTGTAAAGCAACAGTAAAACATTCTTCTTTTAAAGATCCCTGATTTGTGGAAGAGGACTATTTACTTCCATCTATATTTGAGGGGAAAATGTTAACTTCAAAATTGCTTTCATTTTGTTCATCTGTTAACTAAAATGACTGACTACCAGATTTTACTGAAAAGGAGTAGGTAGGGAATAAGCAGGAAAAGTTGTATGCCTCCTGTAGAGGACAGTGAATTCAGCAGAAGCAGCAGGTATAGGACAGAAGAGCTAAATCTGGAAGAAGTAGTAAAATGTAAATGCTGCAGCACTCAGCATTAACGTTCAGCATCACCACTTTTTGTGCTAATCTCTGTTTCTGTGAAGGGAAGGGTTTTCAGTTTCTTGGGAATCGCAGCTCTGGCATACAGTATAAAGGGGTAACAAAAGCTCAACAATGCCATGAAAATCTCATTTAGGAAGGAAAGCTCCATGTCTTATGCAGTAGCTCTGTGATTAGAATACCCAGGCAAGTGTCCCTAAACAGTCACTGATACATGAGCTGGGACTTCTGACTTTTCTCCCAGTATCCTAACCAGTAAGCTGGACAACCATGCTTGATGCTTGCTTTCTCTCTTTCACAGCCCATGTAGGTAGCTCAGGAAAGATGGAGCAAATTCAGTACGAGTGAAACAAAGGGTCTTCCGCTGCCCCACAAGGCATATATAGTCCACTGTGCTCAACTTTGTTATTCTGCGGTCGAGTAATTAATTGAGGGCTAAACAAGCATCCAGATTCAGGCATGGCTTGAGACAAAGGCCAGCAGCCTATACCTCCCTCAACACTGAAGAAGAAAAGCTTCCAGCAGGAAAAAGGAAGTCACTGCATCTGGCCTTGATAGTTCACCTGATGGGAGAGCTCTGATGGTGTCAGCCTTCTTCCAGCAGCATGTTGTGCTTGCACAGGGACCACATGAATCCTCTACCATTCCAGATTCGCTGTATGCACTCTCAAACCAAGGGCCACAAAGAGAATGTGGACTTTTTCGTGAGGAAGAAAAGTAGACATTATAATTACAGGGGGGAAAATCCAATTGGCTTCAGCAAATACAAATAAAACATGGAGATATTTCTGAAATACTCTCTTACCATGCATTAAAAAAACATGTATTTGAGAGAGACCGCATGGTTATATATTAAACAAAGTATTTTTAAAATCTCACCTGAGGAGAAATCATTTCTAGATATAATTTAAGTATATAGGAAGGCTGAGATCCCTGTTTCACTAAAATCAATAGAAATATTATTATTTAATAGGATCATGATTTCTTTTTCAGATTGCAATTTTATTTAGCTCAATAGAAAACTAGAACATTCCATGTGTTCAGATGTTTTTCATATTTTTAGATGCCTCATTTTAGGGAAGATTAAAGGATTCATTAGGAATTCTGTGGAAATTTTGCATAAAAGGCTGGCTCAAGAGTGGGACAGTTTAACTTAAATTGGAAAAAATTAAACATTCAGTTTTCCAGCCTCTGAACATTTATGTTTAACATAAGTAAAAAGTTTTCATAGCTTTTATTCTTGCTTTGAATTTTTTTTAGACTTTAGAAGAAAAATATGTAATCTAAAGAAATTCAGATGTTCCATTATTATGAAATACTGCTGATAAGAATTAGTGTGCTTTGTATTTCTGTTTCAGAGTGGTTTGTTTTGCAGTCTCAAAGAGGGAAAGCAGCAAAACTATTTAACAGACTCTAAAAGCCATTTCCAAAAGGTGGTCTGAAAAAATGTATAAGCATAGTCTCACTTTAACTCCACCGGTCATTTATATTCAGATAAGTCACACAAAGTCACCTGGAAAGAGAATCTCCAAATAAATCCTTGCTGTAGTTGAAAATATTTTTAAATATTGGAATTCTTGAGTCCTCTGTGTTACCCACTTCATTAAATCATAGTTCTGCTGCATCTGTTTCCATGTCAATGCCTATTAGACATGTTATTTGAGCTCAAAGTCATCATACTCCAAACTATTCTGAAGTCATCTGCAGAGTTTCATTTAGTATTTGAATCTGAAAATTTACCTTTAGTAAACCAGAGCTTTCTCTCCCGCAGATGTTTTTATTCAGTCAGCCAGTGCACGCCCCTCACAGGGTATTGCTAAGAGTCTCCTCAATGCACACTTCTCAGGTCAGACCCCCAGTTTTTATTCATAAATCGGTTTGTGGTTTTAATCTTGGCGTATGCTGTCCAGGAGCTGTGAGTAACCCTGAAACACATGCTGACACACTAAATTTGTATAACCTCCATTTCTCCTATGGATTTCTATATTTACAGTCAGTGCTTAGTATCCTCTTTATTCCCTCCCCTTCTCTACTCCCGTTAACTTCCTCATCTAGTCTTAGATGTTTTACCAAGAGGTTTCCACGTGTGCTGTGTAGACCTCAAACACAGTTACTGAAAGGCACTGGAGCAATAGAAGATAAACCTGGCTTGAGGATAGGAGGCCTGATACATTCATCTGTACAAACCCAAGCTTGTATTTGCCAGGCTTTGAAGGTTAAGTCATGACATTTGCCAACAGACTCAGCCTGCAACCCAGTGCCTAGTTGAGCCGGGGATATTCACAGACTGTCACAGCTTTATGTAATTCATAAATAAGCTTTTATGACTTGCAATTTTACAGAGCACAGATGTGGAAAATGAACTCCCTAGAGTGTCTTGTCAAAAACTGCCTAGTGTTCCCACGTGTTAATAGTTTTCCCACAATATGCCCTGGGAAGTAGACCACTGATTTAGTCGCTTTCCAGACAAGGGTACTTTTCTCTCTAATGATAGTGGGCTTTAGTTTTCTGAACCTGACAATGATTTGAGCCTCATATCTGTGTGACTGAAGATTTAGGTAAGTGGAACATTGCTAGGATTGAAGCTTCCTTTTCATACAATCATTGAATCATTTAGGTTGGAAATGATCTTTAAGATCATCAAGTCCAACTGTCAACTTAACCCTGCCATCCCACCACTAAACCATGTCCTTAAGCACCTCGTCTACCCATCTTTTAAATACCTCCAGGGATGGGGACTTGACCACTTCCCTGGGCAGCCCATTCCAATGCTTGATAACCCTTTCTGTGAAGAAATTTTTCCTAATATCCAACCTAAACCTCCCCTGGCACAACTTGAGGCTGTTTCCTCTTATCCTATCACTTGTTACTTGGGAGAAATGACCAACACCCACCTCACTACCACCTCCTTCCAGGTAGTTGTAGAAGGCAATAAGGTCTCCCCTCAGCCTCCTTTCCTCCAGGCTAAACAACCCAACTTCCCTTTATAGGTGTCTGACTGATGATGTGAGTAATACAAGCATTATATAATAGGCAGTGTGGTGTTGCAGTTGGTTTTAACTACTCAAAGCTTCTGCTGTTAGCAAAAGGGTAATAATTTCTACCCTGTTCACCTATATTTCTCCTGCTGGGTCTTCTGCTAGTTCTCGCTCATGTGCACATTAAAAAAAAAAAAAAAAAAAAGGATTTTTTGATGAGGTAGGAAGTGTACTTTTTTTCCTTTTCTGATAGAATTTAGGTATTGAAATCAATCCCCAATCTCAGCTTCATGTAGCATTACATTCCATTCAGACTTGTGGGCAGTTCTGTTCCGAACTAACTCTGTACAGATATTTCATAGCATATTTTTTGATATTTGAAAATTTGAAAAACGGTCTGTAGCCAAATAGACGGTATGCATGTACTTGAGAAGATATCTGTCCACTGCATAAATATTTCATTATTTTAGTTCTAGTGTACTAAAGAACCAGCAGCCTATTTCAGTTCCAATGCTGTAATTTAAGTGTCTTACTTAGTCCATAAATACCATGTTTGATTTTTTCACTAGACATAAAGATATTATTTAATATAGGTGTTTCTCTGAATTCCATACAATTTTGTTAGATCTAAAAGTAGTTAGAGAGAATTATTATACTTAGGTCATTTGTTGTCTCAATATATGCATTATGTTTTGATGAGACTCCTCACCCTTTCTTTTCTTGATCTCTAGTATAATATACAAACAGATCAGTACAGAAGTTGTGATAACGTCTCTGCCAAATCATCAGATAGTGATGTCAGTGATGTGTCAGCCATTTCCCGAACCAGCAGTGCCTCACGCCTCAGCAGCACAAGTTTTATGTCAGAGCAATCTGAACGCCCTCGGGGCAGAATCAGGTGAGTTCTCAGTGCAGCTTTGATCACACGCCCTCTTTCATTTAGTGCCAAAGTACAACCAGAAATTATTGAAATTAGATGACCACAACATAAGAATTTATGAAAAATGTCTGTGCACATATAAACTGTGTTCCATTGCTAGCCTAAGACAACAACATTTGTGTAGTTGTACATCTAAAACAGAAAGCAAACTTCCCATGAGGAGATGACAGATTGATGATTTGTGGCAAGTGGAATTTGAACACACTATCATCTCTTTTCTGGCTATGAATCAGTGTAATCTATATGCCAATAAGGTATTACAGCAGAAATATTAATAGATTTTTCATCTGAAGAATTTTCCTTCTAAAAGCTCTGTTTTTCTTTCTTTCAATCTGTGTATTTATTTCCGTACCTACCTGCCTTTATTTTGCTGTTTTCATGCTTATAATAAATTACTAGCTTTGAAACAAGTATTTGTATAGTAATTTTGATATCTCTGGTTCAAAAGTGGTTTAATTATTTTTCATTATCAATAATCAAATATTTCTTTCATCCTTGGTAATAATCTATTCTTGCTTTAGTGCAACAGATTGGTTCCTGTCTTCGTTTAATTTGATGACAGAACTCCCACTAGCTATAATGGCTGCAGGAGTGGCATGGTAGTCTATGGTTGCATCTACCAATATCTGAACTCTCAAAACTTCGACTTTAAGTGTTGTAAGACACAAGAAGGATTAGGAACTATAAAAAACAATATCCCTGTAGAGGAAATCAGTCTGATAAAAGTCTGGATGGCATCATTTAGTACTTCAGAACATTTCTAGACAGACACACTATCCAAGAAGTTCAGCTGCAGGCTTTTTGATCTGTTCATGCAGTGGGAAGGGATGTTGGGGAAACTCAGAAACTGACCTCTATGGATGAATTGGCTCCACCTCATTTTCTTGTTAAGGAAAGTCATCTAAAAATTGAAGTTCAATTTTTATTAGTAATTAGAAGTTCAAATTTTATTTCTGCCTCCAAGGAACCTGATGTTAACATATAAAGCAGGATGGAATGGGATGGGATGGGACAGTCAAGCAGGAGGGGCAAGGAAAAGAGCATTTTTTAACTTCCTGTCTTCTGTCTTACTGAAACCACACGTCCACCATCATCTTCATTTGGAAGTGTGTCAGCCCAGTGGCCATGGCAAGTGTGTGAGTGCAATGTTAAGTTTAAAGACAAAGTTCATTGAACTGCATTTTTTATGCACCTACTTTTGTTCTCCAGATACCTTCTAGAGATGAGAGCTATGAAGAACCTAGTAAGCGTATAGAAACTCAAAGGATGTGGCCCAATTTTAGCTGTCTCGCTAAACTAAGTCATTCAACTAGTATCCTTAGGTGTCTTTTGTATCCAGAAGAAGAATGCACAAATAGAATGCAGAATAGAAAAGCAAGATTCCTGCTCTGCATCACCTTTGGAAAGGGTGTCTCTGTCTCTTTCTCCATTCAGTAGATGAAAATGAATCCTAGGGCTATTGACCAGCAAGCTGAGTTAATTAAATTAAATGGAGAAATGTGACTGGAGAGTACTCCAGGGTTCAGATTTAGTAACCTGAAGTGAAATTGTGCTCTAACACTTCTGCATCAGCTAAAAAACACTGGTTAGTTATTTATATTAAGAGTGTGGTGTCAAATTTCTGAATGTGAAGTGTGCCAGCTTGAGACAGCGGTAGTTTTAGTTAATGTTCTTAGCCAATATAACCCATCATCACTCATATTAATGCATCTGTGAAAAGGGATATAAATTAAGCTCGTAGACATATGAAAATACAAGATACTGTCCTCTTTAGGGCTGTCATTAAGAAAGCAAACTGCTGTTGTAATTTTGTACAAAATATCACTAGATTTAAATGTGAGAAGGACAGAGGTTTCTGTCTACCCTACACATAGTGAGTGTAATTTGTATGCACTAACTTCACCACCAGTTCTGCCAGCACAAACAGCTTCCTGACCTCTCCTCCTAAATCCTAATAGAGAAAAGATCCTTTAAAAAGCTAACTACTGCCTTTTCCCCATCAATTCAGGCAGAATTGATCGATCTCTCTCTTCTCTCTTAATTTTCAAGGTTTGAGATTCTATAATTTCAGACAATGCATTCTGTATTATCCTATGTTTATAAATGTTATTTCTTTATTCAGGTAGTAAGCATTTTAAAACCTGGAAGCACATGTCTATCTTGTGGCTTTAAAGCATATGGGTATTAGCTATAAATGTGTAACAATTTGTGGTTTTTTCAGCAATGTTTAATTTTAATGAGTAACTCCTCCAGTTACACTGTATTCAAATTACATTGTGCTTTTCAAAATGTACAGCTTTTATAAAATAAAACACTACCATCTGAATAGCAAGGATAAAACTAGTTGATGCAGAAGAACAGAAATACTGTGCATCTTATTTGAATAGCTACATAACACTTGAGCTGTTCCTTGGGTGAAAAATCCCAGATTTAAAGTTTTATAATAATAGGAAACCTGAGAATGCTGAAGAAGTTGGTAACATAGGGATAATGAAAGCAAATCTTCCCTTTCCTTTAATCAATGACAAGACTGTGACTAAACCTTTTAAGGCAGAAGACCAATTTCATACTTACAGTATGTTTGTAATTGAATTACCTGTCAGAAAGCTGTGACATAACATGCATGGAATCTTCTGCTAATCTTCAGTCTGGAGATTTTGTTGATTAACAGTTCCAATAGGCTGCAAGAGGGAATTATGATTGATGCGAGTTCTAAATATAAGCATATAAAAAAGCTGCTTCATTTCTAATTTGTTTAGCATTTTCAGGTGGATGTTATAACAAATGGCTATTCGTGAATAAACTAGTCTGCATATGAAATTATTCCAAACACCTTTCATGTTACTATCCTGGGAAGTCTGGTTGACTGCCATGCTCTCTAGTGAAAGTGCAGGCAAATATCAGGAACTTTTGTTCTGGGAACAAAATGTTCCCTGAATTTTGGGAACAAAGAGTTCTGGGACTTTTGAATCAGAATCAGACCTGTGAATCTGGCTTGCCATAGAATTTGGAGTTGGTGTGTATTTCATGACTGAAGTCAGGTTACCAGTCGTTCTTTATGGACGTTTGCTTTCACCAGTCACAGTCTTTACGCATTCATAATGCAGTCAAGCAGTACTCTGTGTATGCTACAGATGTTCCTGTATATGACTCAGGAACATTTCTCACATCCTAAATGAAGCAGAAGGAAATTCTTCACAGTTTAATGCAAATGATTGATAAATAAGAATCTATGTTAAATACATGGTGATTAATCAGCACCATACGGGCTTGATCAGACAAAGAAGGACATTTGCTCACTTCATTAAAAATTATGCCCAATGATGTCACTGCATCACTTTTCTTTAGGGGCCTGTTTATGCATGGATACCAAAGATAACCTGGACTTCGTGGTGAAGTCAAGGAGGGAACTGTTGTGCATGGTGGATGTGAGCTGGAGGTTTCTGTTCTGGAGGATTTAGCAAGTTGGCTACCATAAATCTGATTGAACAAAATCTGCCAAGTATGTGAAAGACTAGATAACTCCTTTTAAGGTGAACTTCTCTCAAATTTCTGGATTTCAAACAAATTGTCACTGCATTAGGAATATCCCAGTTATTATTCATTTTAAATTTGAAAATTGCATCTTTAGTAAGAACTGTATTTAGTATCGTCACATCTTTAGTAAGAATTCTATTTAGTGTCTTAATAAATGTATGGTATACAATAATATAATTAGCTATATGCCATATTTACATCTGGTTTACATGCATTGCTTAAGTTCAGTTAAAATATTTTAAATAGGCCTATCAAAGAAAGAGGGTAATATAATAGGTTGTAACAGTGGATTTAAACCAGTCTCAATTTCTTTTACATATTATACCATGCCACCAAATGGCTTATATCTCAAAATTATATATGCGTCTTGGGATTCAGGTATGTTCTCTGTACATTACTGAAGGAAAAGAACAACTTTGGCTCTCTCTGAAAAACCTGTTCATTCCCAATTTCCAGAACGGCACACACAATTTGCATGTAGCATTTCAGTACGCTAGAACTTCAGCATTAATACACTTGGCGCACACAATTTGCATGTAGCTGTTATGCTTTCAGTACGCTAGAACTTCAGCATTAATACACTCCAGCTTTGAATCGGGAACAATGGAGGAGAAAAATGACAACACATGATCAAGTGAGGAATTGGTTGGTGAGTTGGCAAGCAAAGGGTGCAGGGTGATGTAAACAGGCAGGACCTTGTAATCAACAAAACAGGGCAGGAAAGAGCCCACCCCAAGTGTATGCACACCAATAAGGAGGTGCTTCAGAGGAGAGCATTTACGGGAAACTCTTGTACATTTTCTGGGAGATCAATATAGCTGGGTGGCTCTCTAAATGGCCTGTGTGCTAGTGCATGGGGAATAAACGAGGAATTAGAGGTATGTTGTGCAGCTGCAGAGCTATGATCTCATCAGGATCACAGACATATGGTGGGATGTCTCATGTGACTGGAGTGCTGCGATCCATGGAAGCACAGCAAGGGAGGAGTGTTGCCCTTCATGTGAGAGAGCAGAAAGCTCTGCCTAGAGTTGAGTGATGAACCAGCTGAGAGTTTATGGGTCAGGACTAGAGGGCCAAACTGTGTCATGTTGTTGTGGGTGTCTGCTATGGACTTCCTGATCAGGAAGAAGAAGTAGATGAAACCTTCTTCCAACAACTGGAAGAAGATTCACTTTCACAGGGTCTAGTTTGCATGGGGAGCTTGAACCATCGTGGTATCTTCTGGTTAAACAGGCACAAGCAATCCAGGAAGTGTCTGGAGCGCACTGATGACCAGACAGAAAGTCTGGAGCAAGGACTCAGCAGAGGATGATCAGGTCAGGGAACATTTAAACAAACTGGACACACACAAGTTGATGTCACCTGACAAGATGCGGCCTAAATGAGCTGATGCTGACCATTGCAAGGTCACTCAATAATCT